TAACAACATGAATACACTTAAAAACTACTGTTAAAATATTCTTTGAGTAGTTTAATTTTATCTTTAAATATATGGGGACATCAAAGAGGTTGTTTTTGGATAATTTACTAAATACTTTAATGAGAAATTTGTGTTCAAACTACCTGGCTTCTTTAGCCCCATGGTACTTGGCGTTTTAGCTTACCCAATAATCAAATATCAATACCTGGATTAAACAATGCGTTCACCTGGACCAGAGAAAATTTGTTACAATATAATTAGGCATGTGTTCTGGTTTTTGTCTCTGGTTTCAGCTTGGCTTAAAAATCCTCTGCTCTATGTAATATGTAATGCTATAAGGCTATCCCCACTGTGAAAATAAAAAGAAATCTTCAGTTCAGAAAGACTTGTATTGGAGATGTGTTCATTTGTGGGGACAAAATGAATTATAATTGAGGCAGGAACAGAGAGGCTAGAAATGAACAGTAAAGCAGGTTCTGAGGTAAGACTTTTTTTTTTTAACATATAGTTTACATAGAGATGTGGAGTGGGGTACAGATTTAGTGAGGATGTGACTGTATATATTCATTAAAACATCAAGGTTCTTTGATCTCTATTGCAATTAAATCAATTCAATATGGCGATAATCAGTACTTCATGATGATCAGAAGACCTAATTGGCTGTTAATGACATCATGGAAATTACTGGGATGTGTCCCCTGTACACATGTCTTTGATAAATAAAAATGTAGAAATATTAATATTACTTACTAATGTACCTTAGATTTGAATTTAATCTTGAACTAAGAGTCTTCACACAGGAGGCAGGGATAGGGAGAAGACCAAAGGGGCTTTTTTTCTTCCTGCCTAGAGATATACACAATCGCTCTGCTAGTCAATCTACCAATTTATAACAGTATACATACAATTTAATTGTAATTAAATTACAACTAGAGAAGTATAAGTAGAAAAATGGTTCTCTGATTTATCAACAGCTAGAAAACACCTCACTCTTCAGACATGTTAGTCCAAGGATTAGTATTTAGAAATAGGAAAATGTATGGAAACAACAGAACTTACACAACAAAAATAGTAAAAAAAACTTCAAGCTAACACAAAAGCTAGCACCAATCTATTTTCAAAATTTCAGAATAGTTTTCTCTGAGAGTGAGTTAGGACATTTGGCTCAGAATAGCATTTGTTTTTAATCATTATGTTTGTGTTGGTACCTTAAACATGAATTTTGTCCTTTTAAGGAAACCTGCAGTAAATATTAACAGCTATTTCTTAGGTTAAATTTTAGAGGAAGAAAATGGACTCAGGGAAGTCTGTCTTACCTGGTTTAAATAATCCATTAAGCTCCCACTGAGTATAAAGCACCCCCTACTGAGTAACTGGGAAATAGCTATTATTAAATTTCAGTCCTCAGAAGGCAGTTTATTGTGTATTTAAAAAAACTATTATAGGATTTTATGTGTCACATTAGGTTAAACTAAAGCTACCAGATAGATTAATGTCAAACTGGATTATATTTCAAAGTCGATAATGAAAATAAACCCTTCTCTCTTCTTTTCTGTTACATTTTTAGAAATTACACCTAGCTTTTCATTCAATACAAATGATTCCACTTGAAAAACTAAAAAAAAAAAAAAAATTTCTAAATATTACATTTTTAATTTAACAAAAGTCTAAGATCCAACAAAAACTAAATGAAGTTCTGAATTGTAAACAACTTCATTTACTGCTTTAATCAAGAAAGATACAATCACTAAAACAATGAAATGTTTGGTTCTATCTCAGTAGTAGCAATATGGTAATCATTGTCATCATCATCCTCCCCTTGACCATCATCATCATCATCATCACCACAGCATCCACATAATGTCAGCTTCTACGACAGTTCTGCACACGTTTGTCTCACATTTCTCATAGCAGCCAGTTTTGTAGAACACTTCCCTTAAGTGGTTGTTACTGGCGTTTTAAAGTGAACAGTGGCTGGTTATTCAGAATGCCCAAATTAGGCTACAGCAATGATAATTCAAAAATTCCCCAGAGAAAATATCAGAAGTGAAACATGATGAATAAAGTTGACCCAAAGCACTGCATTATTTCCATCAAAACATTCAGGTTCTGACACTTACTACCTGTGAGACCGTGGGCAAGTCACTTCCCCTCCCAGGGCCTTGGCTTCTTCACATTAAGTTGGGGACTAATAATAGCACCTACTTCTCATGACTGTTAGCAGGATGAAAGCCAGAGAGTTTAAAATAGTGCTTGACACATAGCCAGCCCACAATAAATGTTAATTGTTGAAATGACTATTTTTTAGAATGGATACACAAATAAATAAAATTACTGGTTGTGTAAGCTACCATCTTTATTTACCATCATATTCTCATTCTTTTTTTTTTTTTTTTTACCTATGGCACTGGATTATATTAAATGCAGATGATTTGTCCACTGGAAAAAAATTGTTTTAAAGTCACTGGGTTTCCAGACACTGAAAGTATGTCATGATATTCTTTCTTGCTGAACTTCAATGAAATCAATTAACTCCTTCTAAATCATCAGAGTAACAAACAAACACAGCATGCTAAGTGGCTTCTTTCAGGAGAAATGATCACTCTGTTTTTCTTCATAATCAAATATGACAATTTCTGTAGCTATTAATGGTAATGTTGCTTATTTGGTTCTTTTTATAATAATTTGCAAAACACTTTCAATGCAATGGTGAGGAAGCTTCTCCTAACTCTTGCTTTCTCTTACTTTCAACTCTCCACATGAAGAGCCACATTTTCTTCCCTATACTCGTGCTCGTGGACACAAAGGGGGAAGCGCCCACAAGTAACGGCATCAATATTATTACTTTTCCCCATTTTCTTACAAGTTGTTAAAGCAGTGAAGAGAAATATAGGCCCACTTTTTTCTCCACACAAATTCACAGAAAACTAGAGAAATCATAATGTTTCATAAAAGCGCTAAACATTGTTAAATTTCATTAGTATAAATACTGCTTGATTACGGTCATTTAAGCTTTAAAGGTTTGTCAGGATTCCACAGAAAATTTCAAACTTTATTGATGAAGGAAGAGTCACTCCCAAGATCTCTGTCTTTGAAGCAGCAATTCCCTCAGAACTTCTATGTTCTTCTAATAAAGGATTTACTCAAAAATCTTTATTTTGCAAGTCAAAACTATGAAAATTTAACAGTAATGAAGGAAGTAAAATCAATAGTAAGGTAGTTTCCTTCACCTTCAAGAATTAAGACCTAGGCCGGGCATGGTGGCTCATGCCTATAATCCCAGCATTCTGGGAGGCCAAGGCAGGAGAATCGCTTGAGGTCAGGAGTTTGAGACTAGCCAGAGCAAGAGCGAGACTCCGTCTCTACCAAAAATAGAAAAAATTAGCCAGCCATGGTGGCTGGCACCTGCAGTCACAGCTACTTAGGAGGCTGAGGCAGGAGGATCACTTGAGCCCAGGAGTTTGAGGTTGCAGTGAGCTATGATGACCCCACTGCACTCTACCCAGGGTGACAGAGTGAGATTCTGTCTCAAAAAAAAAAAAAAAAAAAAAATTAAAAAAAAATCAAGATCTAAAGAATCATAAATTTTTTTAGCCTTGAAGGAAATGGGTTTCAAAGGCATTTAATAATTAGCAAATAACTGTAACAATAACAATAATACAAAAAAAGAGAAGTTATTTTTCAAAATTCAGTCACCTAAATAATGTCATTAAAGATGAACAAAGGAAACAGTATAACAAATACTACAGCGTAGAATTTGGAAGTCCATTTAATTTATATTCATTTCTCATGGAAACAGTTTGTAGTTTTACAAGATCTGTTTTTATTTGGTCTTAGTTTATCCTTTACGTGCTAATGGTACAATATACCTTCATCAGTAAAAGACACCTCATAAAACAGAACAGGGTCCTTGGCAATCCCAAAGGTTTATACCAGTCCTATGTAGCAAATGCTTGATATTTAGGACCCTCTGTTTCTACGGATGAACCTTTTCCTTCTGTCGAGATGCAAGTTCTGCTCTCACTATTATAAATAAGGCCAAATCCAATGACATTGAAACTGGCCCACAATTTTTATCTAATGTTCCATTCATTGTCATTGAGTACTATCAAGTGGCAGCCATTTCTTGGCAGTGAGGAGTCTATATAGTCCAATCAAAAATAATTTACTACTAATACTTTGGGGCATGAGCCCAAGATCTTTGTTTTATGAAACCAGATTACAATATGGAACTCCATACCACCTTTAAAAATATAAGCTTTTAGAAGAAAAAAGTTTGTAAAAGAAATTAAATGAAGAAGGATGAGAAGACTCTAAAAAGAGAAAGGGCAGGAAAAGATAATAATTCATGATTTAACACATTAACTGCCATTTAATTTATATTTAACTCACTCTAGTTTTGACCCTGGGGCCACGTGAAGCATACATAAAGTCTTACTTGTTGATGTTCTTATTGTTACAATTAACATTGGCAATTTAATTTTAAAAACATGAATTAAATGTATGGAAGTCAATAAATTTCATTTTTGCATTTCTGTTTACCTTTAAACTACACTCGAAGTTTGTATCCTATTTTTGTAATAAAACACTGTTGCCCCAAGAAAAAGTTTCTGATTTTTTTTTGTGTGTGGCAGTCAATGTGTTTTAAAAATGCTGGGAGAAGAACATCTGCAGCAGAGTTCAAAGCACAGCTCTGGTCACTTACAGCTGGCAGTTGTGAATGACATCAGACACGGACTCCATGATGTCAGTTTCAGGCTTGCCTGGAACCTTACCAAGCACCCTTCTGACCCCATGATGTCATCTCAGGCCTTATCCCATGAGTGCTGAAATCACCCAGTAAGCCTGAAACTGTCCCACATCTCTGGATGTTCCCCCCCATATGCTCAAATACTGTGTGACCATCAGAAGGTTCTACAAAATACGCAATCTCCTTTCTATATACAATTAGAAATTTCTTTTACAACAAAAACACTTGATAAAAACGAAGAATTACCTACCTTGAAGACATTAAGCTGCTGATTAATTGTCTCTGTTTCCATGCCAACGGGACCTTGTGACTCTTCATGTTCTTCGGCTTTCTGAAGCAGAGTAGAAAAGTCTTTCAATTTGCTGTAGAATTCTTCAAGACGCTCAATTGTCCCTTCCACCTGCTCTTCTCTGGCTTGGGCTCGGTCCAGTAACTTGTTGCATTGTTTGCTTAAAGCCTCCAAGTCCCTTTTGATTCCAACGAGGTCAGGAGATGTTTCCTCTGTGGCTAGCATCATCTTGCAGGTCTTATTGGCATTGTCGTTGCTCGCTATGAGGGCTTCGAGTTTCTTCAGAAAAGCTTTTATAGCCTCCTTTTGCTTTTGCAATGTTTCCACATCTCTCCCTACAGGGGCCATGCTGTCCAGTTCATCATCAAACTCTGCAAACTGAGAAAACATTTCTCGGATGGTATTCTGGAAATGCCCAATGCCTTGAAGCTTGGTTTCTAAGAATGAACACTTTTCATCAACCTGCTGACTTATTGCATTATGCTCTTGAGCTAAAGTCTCTGCTTGTAATAAAATATCAGAGGTTCCCTTTGAGTCCAAGGTTTCCACCACAAGGTCCTGAGCAAGTCTTTTGGCCAAATCCACCTGAGGCTTCAAGGTCTGCAGTGATTTCTGCTGAGTCTGCAACATGGTCAGGTTTTTGTTACTGTAAGCCTGGGGGCCTAGGGAATCATGGAGGTCCAGCTGTTCCTTTGCACACTGAAGCTGCCTTTGAGCTTCTTTGGAAACTTCTTGAAATTCCTTAAACTTCTGAGCCATATTCTCCAGGGAGAATTTCTTACTGTGAAGTTGTTCAGTGACCATGTCTACCTTCTGGATCAGTGATTTATTCTCATCTGTAACAACCTCTTTGTCTGTCTCACAGACACTGAGCAAGCTGTTGGCTGTGTTGTTCAGTAATTCTACCATACCAAAGTGTTGGTCCATTTCCTTCTGCAGAGACTTTACCTTGGCGATGGAATTCTCCGTTTCAGCAGGATCCAAGCAAAATTTTACTTCCTCCAGGTCGTTCTGACATTTGTCTATCCACGGCCGGAGAGTCTCCACATGCTCTTTATACTTGAGGGCTTTTTCCAATGAATCTTTTAACTTGTCTTCTCTTTCTTTCACCTGCTTATTAAATCCATCCCAGTTGGTTTTAATCGTGTTAAGCTGTAACTGTAAGGCTGCCTTCTCAGACCCTTGCGTTTTTAATAACAGATTTTCACCTTCTGCAATGGTTTTCTCATAAATATTAGACTGGGCAGTCAAGGTTTTACTGAAGTCTTTCTGATCTTTAATTAATGACTCTAAGACATCGAGTTTGGCTGATATTGGATGAGACTTGTTTTGCTCTTCTTTCTTCGTATCCAGCCAAGCCTGAAAATCTCTGGACATCTGCTGAAATTGATGAGAGCTTGCGCAGGCTGACTGAAGGTGCTGGACGTGGTTCTCTAAAAACGAAATTACAGACATGTTCATTTTACATCAAAATGTTAATCTAATCTATGAAAAGTCAAAAGGAAAATCCCTAAATGAATGTGTGGAATTATCTAAAAGCAAGAGCTTTTACCATTGACTATAGGAACTACGAGTGAGCTTAAGTCACTGACAAAGGGGAAAAAAAGACAAGAGGCAGGCACAACAAAAAGAAAAGAGAGAAGTCAAGAAGCAGGAAACAGATGAGAGGGGAAAACAAAGACTATGGGAATAAGTAAAAATGCATAAAGGTGCAGGGTGCAGTTTTATCACATATCGCTTGATGTGCTAGTGTCTTCTCCACTCCAGTATGAGAAAGTGACAACTACAAAAGTTCTGGGTTGCATTGATAAATAATCCATCTCTTATCAAATAGGATGTTTTTACCTCTATGACTTTTATACACCATGGAGGCCACATAATGTAGCATATAAGAACTGCACGAGTTTGTAACCTGGCTTAACCTCTTCAGAGCTGGAAGACTCTGGGCAAATGACTAAAACCTCTAAGTCTCATTTGCCCACCTGTAAATTGGAAATATTAACAGTGGCTATTGTGAGGATTAAATGAAAAGTTCTTAGCTTAATGCCTATCACGTGAAAGTGTTCATATATTACAAATAATAATGATAATAACCTATCATTTTTTATTATCAACATCATGTTAAATAAAGGAGCACGTATGAAATAGTTGCTATGGTCAATAAACAAATCCAATCGATCAAAAAACATAAACTGAATATTTACTAGGTGCAAGGCCTAGACACTAGTGTTACTTTTCAGACAGAACAAACAGAGCTACAAAATGTGCCTTTCTTTGTCAGGCCTTTCTGAACCCCAATAACTCATTACTGCTGCCTCTGACAATTGGCACATCTGCTGCAGAACTATGGACACAATAGGTGAGAGAGGAGAATGGTGTCAGATGCTTCTCTTTCACACATTTCTCCAGACAAGTCTTCTATGATAGAATAGACAAAGTACTAGCAGATGATAAAATGATGCAAAGCCTTTTCAATAACTATTCGTTTTTTTTTTTCTGGCAAAATGAGACTACGTCACACCACAAGAATGTTTACATCTTTTAAAAACCAATTTGGGATACCTGAAATTTTAATGAGGCCCCATTAAGTGGATTTTGCCAATAGAGCATCTCTTTATTAAATCTGCATGGAATTGCCCTGACACTGTGCGTGCCTGTGAACACAGAACTGCTCTTCGTGCTCCTGTGTTCAGCCTCCTTTTCATGTATGTTCTCAATGGACCAGAGTCTCTTTAGGGTCCTGGATTATTGGCAACAGCTTGGAAATGGGCAATGTATCTTTTTTTTTTTTTTTTTTTTTTTTTTTTTTGAGACAGAGTCTCACTCTGTTGCCCAGGCTAGACTTAGTGCCGTGGCATCAGCCTAGCTCACAGCAACCTCAAACTCCTGGGCTCAAGCAATCCCGCTGCCTCAGCCTCCTGAGTAGCTGGGGCTACAGGCATGAGCCACCATGTCCGGCTAATTTTTCTATATGTATTAGTTGGCCAATTAATTTCTTTCTATTTTTTATAGTAGAGATGGCGTCTTGCTCTTGCTCAGGCTGGTTTTGAACTCCTGACCTTGAGCAATCCGCCCGCCTCAGCCTCCCAGAGTGCTAGGATGACAGCCGTGAGCCACCGCGCCCGGCCTAATATATATCTATTTCTAACCAGGAAATATGTGTACTATAAGTAGACAAACCTGCTTTTTGCTCAATATCCTTAAATGATTTTAAGATGCCTTCTAGTTGCCTACTCAGTTCTGCCTTCAAGTACTCTTCTTTCACCAGTGCTGACAGATCCTCACAGAGGGCCTGGGCCACTTTTATCTGCTTCGTTTCCTGCTCTATTTCCTGCTTCATCTTCTGGGCTGTTTCCAACTGCTGGTTCATAGCACCAGGGTGCGAGCTCACGGCCAGACTGCTGCTGAGTTTATTATCGAAGTCACTCAGTTTATCAGAAAGGCTTCTCAGTAGGCTTTGATACTGTGTGCTTTTAACAATGGCTTGGTCAATCCAGTCACATCTGTCACTCAATTGTCCTGTTAGGCTATCCCATTTTTGGGTCACAGCTGCCAGTTGCTCTTTCACAATCCCATGTAAAGAAGGGTCTTCTCCAGGTCTGCTCAGGATGCCCTGACCAGCTGCTGTTAGCTGTTCATACTGAGGTTTCCGAGTATCAAATTCTTGCAGCAGAATCTAAGGTAATGAGCATGAACACACAAATTATGGTGTAATTGATTAGAAAAAACATAGCTTTAAAAGTGTCCAAACAGACAGAAATGGTCATTATTTATCCAGTTTTTGTTTTTTAGTTACCACTTTCCCAATTTTTATTTAAAGGGCAGTATAACAAACTTAAATCCAAAGCACACTAGTGCTTTACAGAGATAATACCTTGTCTAAACTAATTACATTCTTCTAAAGGGAAAAAAGAATAGAAGAAATGTTTTTGGTAATCTGGGCAAAGTGAACAAAAAATTCATGTACAAATTTTCATATGCAAAGGGAAAACACTGCTATTGGACAAGTTCACGCTGCACTAACACCAAATGTGTATTTTCCTACTCAATGTTTTCTCTTCGTAGGATTTTTGGACTACTCTGTAGCATTTTACTTGAAAGAAAATGCACAGTGATAACAGTGTTAGAACATTAACTCATGATGCATTGATTTACAAAGGTTTTTTGAACATAAAATTTAATGATGTTTATAGTCTTTATTATAAAGATTTTAGCCAACAAATCATGTTGCTCAGAATGTATAGGATCGACATGACTCCCATTATAAAATGAAGGATCCCAAAATTTCTTTTAGTATAATATTTTATCTATCGTTTATTTTCTATTTTATTTATCTATTTCTGGGAGACTACCAAGATGAGAGGCAATTACTTCTCCCCAGATATTTATTTTTATCTTTTGTTTTCATTCTCTTCAGCTTATGGACATGAATTAGAACATGTGACTCTTACCAAGACTTATTTGGATTTTCAGCTCATACAATTAGCCTCCCTGCTCTATAAGCCAGTATCTAACATAAGAAAAACGAACTGACACCACAATGGAGCTTTTGCTCTTACACCTGACTTAAATTTCATGCATTTTTTTTTCTCTTTGTGGATTTCTCTGCTTTGTAATTAGACGAGAGTCTGACTAAGGTACCGGGTTTCGGGGTTCCCCTCTGCTTTCCTTATTCTTTGCCCCCTTCTTAGTCTGTCTCTCTCCCCTTCAGGACCCTATTGCATGAGTTTTACAAGTTTCATTATCTACTACCGCAATCAAAATGAATAAAACATCAAAGGAGTAATTTCTGAACAGTAAAGAGCATATAGCTAGCTGCTCATAAAAAAATTACTTAATCACATTAATACTTCAAAGAAGGCCCTTTCTAACAGGATCTGTACCACCCACGATAGGACTGAAATAATTGGGGGACTTGGCCTACTCACAGGCTCAAAGGGACTACTCTGGGATGCCTCATAGCTTTAGTTCTCTGAGCGTTTCCCAATAACCTCAGGATGGTACCTTATGGGCATGTGAAACATTACAAGTATACTTCAAAGCAGGTAAAACTCATACTGCCCAAAGCTAATATATTTATAAGTAAAACATTTATTAAGTCAAGTTGTGGTGCATGATATAGGTTATTAGGTAATACTCACCTGTACTTGCTGCCTTTGCGTGTTTAGCATGTTTGGGTCAATTGACAAGGGCCCGAGAACACTGACCATCAGTTCTTTTTCCACAAGCCACTGTTTTAACTGGGCCTCTAGAGTCTGGAATTGGGTGAGGTTATTGGAGGATTCTTCCAGTTTTTGTTGTCTATCAATTGTTAATTGATTGAGTTCTTGCCACTTAGACTCTGGAAGAAAAAGGATGTGTGGTTTTTATGCATTTTACATGACTATATCCATGAAGACTATATGATATTATTCAAAATGATAGGTAAGGGTTATCACCCCATTTTTATAACTCTTCTTACCTAGTTAAATAAAGGTCTAACCTAAGAGAATTAACTGCATTGGATGATACAGATTTTATCGACCTGGCAGTTGTGTGTCAACTGAAGTATAAGGAAAACAAATTTGAATCTGATTTTAGAAGATATTGTGGAATATGGAATATTCCTTAGAGCAAATAGGATCCTGAGATCCCTCATTCCTTCTAGAAGTCCTATAGAGTCTATTTATTTAAGTATAACTAACCTACTTCAACAATGAACATTAATTCTTTTTTTTTAATATTAAATCTTCAATTATCAGGTCTAGGTAAATGGCTCCCAAATTTGTATATTTAGCCTCAAAAGCTCTTTGCTATTCAAATCACACATTAATAACCAGCTGCCGGAAAGTTACAGTAGGAAGTCTTACCAATCCTTTAAACATTTTCAACAGGAAAAAATAAAACTTATTATATTTCTCTCAAAACTGGTGAATTTTTCTGACTTGTAGGTTTCTTTCAAAGGTTATCATTTCCCTCACACCACTGAGATGCAATAATTCAGAATGTTCTCTCATGAGCTGCCTAACTCTCTAATATTCTTGATCATAAAAACCTTAAGCCCCTCCTTTACATTCCTTATGCTATAATTCCATTTGGGCTCTCATCATGTATTGTTTTTAAAAATTATTTTATTGATACATAATAGATGTATGTATTTTGGGGGTACCCGTGATAATTTAGTATGATTCCTCCAGGTGATGAGTTAACCTCATCATGTTTTGCCTAGATGAGTAATTCTCAAACTTGAGCTGCCTTAGAGTCACCTGCAGGGATCATTAGCACAGACTGCTGGGCCCCACCCACAGAGTTCTTGATTCAGTAGATCCGGAGTGGGGTCTGAAATTCTGCATTTCTAGCAAGTTCCCAGGTGCTGCTGTTGCTGCTGGTTCCAGGAGCACACTTTGAGAGCTACACACCTAGACCACCAGTCTTCTAACTGGTTCTCCGCTATTAGTGTTTCTCAGCTGCTAACCATTTGTTTCTAAAATAATTTCCCTACAAACAAAGATCACTTTTAAACAAGTCACTTCTCCCTTCAATAACTAACTCCTCACACCCTACATGATAAAATCCAAAGACTTTTGCCTGACATTCAGGGCCTCCTACGATCTGGCCCTAGTATATTACACACTTGATCTTAGCCAAAAGGCCGACAAGCGATGGCCCCAGTCTACTAATCCTAGAGAGTCTGTACTTTATGATGAATCCTCTAATCCAGCATTCCGATCCTATCGTTATCATCCAAACAGGCTTTTGCTCACACAGGTCCCATGCCTGAGATGCTCTACCTTCTCTTCACATATCCCAACCCTAAGCTCCCTTCATAATTCCAATGGATCTTACCCTCTGCTAGGAAGTCTTCCCTGTTCCCACCACCCTCAAAACAACACATTCCCTGCAGCCAAGGGTTATTGATCAGAGCACTTAGTCCAGCACTTGGACACATCAGTTGCTCAATAAATATTCATTCATGGTTTTGTTTAGTTGACTTGAGAGATTTTTTTCACTTAGCATAACACACTAAAGGGATGATTTTAATAGAATCTAATCCCTGAAACCTCATCTATTGACATTATTCTATATGGCATGTACTAGTCAAACACAATCCGACAACAAAATAATACAATTAGAGCAATAAATCAGGAAGGAGAAATAACAAAGTCATCAAGAAGCTTTTTAAAAATGCACATTCCTGGCCGGGCATGGTGGCTCATGCCTGTAATCCTAGCACTCTGGGAGGCCGAGGCGGGTGGATTGCCCGAGGTCAGGAGTTCGAAACCAGCCTAAGCAAGAGTGAGACCCCATCTCTACTATAAATAGAAAGAAATTAATTGGCCAACTAATATATATAGAAAAAATTAGCAGGGCATGGTGGCGCATGCCTGTAGTCCCAGCTACTCAGGAGGCTGAGACAGCAGGATTGCTTGAGCCCAGGAGTTTGAGGTTGCTGTGAGCTAGGCTGACGCCATGGCACTCACTCTAGCCTGGGCAACAAAGCGAGAGACTCTGTCTCAAAAAAAAAAAAAAAATGCACATTCCTAATTTCTACACCTATTCTAAAATGTCTTGACAATACTTTTCCCATGTAATTCTGATATCCCAAGGGAGACCCACTCAATTAGGGCCAAATTAATTACAGTGAAACAGGAGTCTCTACAGTTGGATTAAATATATCTTTGAACATTAATATCCCTTAGAGTAACCTTTTTCAAACTAAAACATACTTCCATATTTCTAAATGTATCACAGCATACCTGATTCTAAAGGAAGGGTGATATTTAGATAAATACAGTAGAACAATGGAAAGTGAAATAATTATTATGATCATAGTATATACCTAAATAGCATTTACTATGTGCCAGGCATCTATACACATGGTAACTTATTGAGTTGTCCAAACAATACTATGAAGTAGGGAAAATTATTTTCCTTCTCTTATACTAATTTTTCACATCATTATAATAAAAATATAATATAAAATTATAATAAAAATTTTAAGATAATATGGCTAGTGAAGAAAAATTTGTAACTATGAGGAGCAGTTTATACAGGGACAGTATAGAGGTGGGAGGACAACTATAGATAAAGAATTAAAACTACTAGTTTTCAGTGATGGGCTACTTTTTAATACTGATTAGGAGAGAGAAGATGAGAATAAAATATGGGTCTGGAGCAGTCCCATGAGTAACTCCATAAACAAGGGAGCCTACCTTTTTCAAACAAGTAAATGAAAGGAATATTTAAACTAAAAAGATAATAAAACTTTAAAAAAAATAATAAAACATAAAGCACCATAAAACCAGTAAAAAAGTCAATAATCATTACCGAGTACAATGTTACTCAATGCACAGCATTTTATTAACTAGTATCTACCTACTTCAGAAAAATAAATTTAGTTACTGTGTTGACCAAGAAAAACACAGATAAGACATAAAATACAAGTATATAAAACATAAGATAAGATATATATAAACATAAGCTATGCCAATTCTCTGCACAATATAATTTGAAATGACTCTTTTAAATATGGAAAAAATAGACTGTGAAACATTAAGGCAAATCCAAAAATGTGTGAGGCTGCTGGATGTTTTCTGATAAAGACTGGGATACAAATGAGAAATGAATGAGCTTCTGTTCATGGGCTTTCATGTTAAGTAATACAACATACCTATTTCTGTCAACATCTGTTTCCATTTGGGGGCCTCAGGAGTATCTGGGTTCTCCTCCAACAGTTCTGTTAATTTGTCTTTCAACTCCTGCACTTTGTTTACATTTTGCTTCAGTTCAGCCTCAAATGACTAACAAGGAAAAAAAAAAAAAAAGTAACTACATTAAAGTGTGCCAACAGCAAAAGACAAAAACACAATTATGATAGAGCATTTTTTTTTTTTCTCTAACATGACCAAAAGAGGAAAAAAATCCACTGCTAAATGATGAAGCTGGTGGGGGCCTGGATTTAGCAGTTGTTTTCCTTTCCTCTTCTCAGCCAGTCTTCAACTGTGTGACAAAGAAATCCCACAGAGGAGCATTCTACCTATGGAGATAATGACTTTCATCCCCATTACCAAGGGAGAATTTCATATTTTCAAATCAACCACTTTGGAAAAAAGCAAGATGGCATCAAGATTGTAATTAATAATAATAATAAAAAAATCAGCCTTGATAAAGGCTGCTAGCATTTGAGAATCTACTAGTGAATAAGCAGTTTTTTTGGACAACACATAAGAGTTCAATCACAGTAACTTATAGAAATTTTTGCCATCACTGCCACCAGGTAAAACCACTCTCCCGAACTTGACAGCTATAGAAAGAAATGTCACCTGTTAAAGAAAGGGAAGGCATTAGCTACCCTATTTTATACTAAACAGAACAGAACCCTAATACATTTGGCCCTTAAATAAATCTTTTCCAGTAGTTGGCTGGTTAATATCCAAGACTTCAACTGATTTAAAGGTGGTAAAGTTGCTTATATCTAACAGATTACTCATCTTCATAATGTGAGCGTACAAAAAAAAAGTGACTATTATCATCGATCTCTACAGTAGAAAGGCATGTTAAACTAAAACTGTCAAATCTTGTGCTGAAGGTTATAGAGCTAGAAAACACAACAAAGCTCCTGACCCCAAGGGCTCAGTTTTGAATGCTAATCTGTTTTCTTTCATGTCTTCAGTAGATTCCCCACAGAATATACCTTATTCTGCTCCACTTGAGTCTTCACGGCTTCAGTATCTGTAGGTGTGGGTGTCTCGTGCCATTTGGTTGCAGTTTTGTTCATTTTCTGTAACCACTGCATCATTGTACTTGATTCTTCCTGAGCTTTTTGCAATTTGGAGAGTTTAGAATTCAATTCTGCTATTTTGTCCTTGAGTAAGAGGCCAAGATCTTCATAATCATGACTTATGTCACTCATATCCTTTTTAATGGATGTTAAACCTAGGAGGAAGAACAAAAAAGTTATACTGACACATTTTCAGGACATTTGGAGCAGAGGTCTAGAAATAAAAGTTTGTTTTACATGGTATACTCTTCTACTTTGTCACTGTTAAGCCTACTACGATCAAGTCATAGATTTTAGAATTAAAGGGCTGGATCATCTTACAATATATTTAATCACAAATAATTCAAGAACATTGAATAATACAAGTGAAATGAAAAAGTATTTTAAACGGAATAAAAAATCCAAACCACAAAATGTTACTTACTAATTCCTCAGGGACCAAACTCAATAAATTAGGTCAAACAATGTCATCTCAACTGGCAAAATATACCAAATTAACCAAATAAAAAGATAACAAAGTCAAGTGCCAAACTGAACTAGATTTTACTAATTTCAGATGAACGAAAATGCATGGAATGTTATATAAATGGTATTTGTGGAGATTAAATACCATTTTAATTCAAGTTTGAAATTTCAAATATAACTACTGGTCGCCTCTAAGAAGATTTTTCTCTCTCAAAAAAATACCAAGTTACATTAAGCAATAACCAATTAAAATTACTATTTACCTTTATTTGCCAAAAATTCTTGAGTATTTGCAGCTGTTCCTTCACCATTTAATACTACTCCACCTGTAAAAATATTAAAACTGAAGTAATAGTAGATCTCCATAGTATTTCTATACATTAATAGTATAATGCATTACATCAAATCCTATTAAACAGTAATCATTTAAAAATGTTATTACTACTTGGAAACACAAAATACTGATTCAACTTCAAAATCAAATGAAAATCTAAAATTTAAATATTGAACTATATCCTCTCTTTTTTTTAATTTTCTTATTTTTTATTTTTGAGTCTCACTCTGATGCCTTGATAGCATCGGCCTAGCTCACAGCAACTTCAAATTCCTGGGCTCAAGTGATTCTCCTGCCTCAGATTCCAAAGTAGCTGGGACTACAGGCTCGTTCCATGATATCTGGCTAATTTTTTCTATTTTTAGTAGAGATGGGAATCTTGCTCTTGCTCAGGCTGGTCTCGAACTCCTGAGCTGAAGCAATCCTCCCACCTCAGCCTCCCAGAGTGCTAGGATTACAGGTGTGAGCCACCACACCCGTTCTGAATTATATCCTCTCTTCTATGTAAAATTTATTCTTAAAGTAGTAACATCATCTTAAATACTAGAGTTTCAATGTTTATATTATTATAATATAAATTAATCATTAAATATTAATCCATAAAAAATTTGTGACAAAGTTGCTTTACTGCTAAAGTTATATTAATGACAAAGGTCCTTGAAGCTCAAAAGGTACTCAATATAAAGGTGTGTTCAACACAGTATAAATTACTGACAAACCAAGGAGCGTCTCTGCCTCATTTAGGGATTGAAAACTGGCTGGTGCAGTTACACAGTGTTGTCATGGATTTAATGGAGGCAGAATGATTTTTTTTAAGATATGCAAAAACCTAAAAGTTAAAAAACAAACAACCCTATTACTAAACCCAGATTAGATCAATGCTGAGAGAGAGGAGACACAGTGGTTAGGAGTATCTGGGTCTTGGTGTGTGACTCACCTGAATTTAAATTCCAGCCCCACTAATTCCTAGCCATGTGACTGGACAAACTAATCAACCACACCGATGGGGATAATAATACCTAACTGTGGGAACTAAAGACCACCATGAGAACTAAAGACCCACTGCCTAGCAAACAGGAACTACTCAGTGAGTAGTCAACTAATATTTCTCTTTTATTATTCATATATAATAATCTAGCATTGGTATCTTTAATAACCAGAATCTTAAAAAATCAGTAAGACTATCTCATACTAGAACCTACTGGCTGTCTATTCAAAACACAAAGACATTTCTCAAATCAACCACACAATAACAAGTATAAGCAAATATAATAGAAAACATTTAAATATGTGAAACTTCAGTTTTGTCCTTTAAAAAAAAATCACACACAATGGCATTTCAGATGGAGGTGGAAATACCCCATAGATGCTCACGACTAATCCCTAGCATACTTGGTAGTTATTAAAAGTCAAAAAAACAAAAACAAACAAACAAAAAAAATGGAAAAAAAAAACCCACTTGGTACTTATATTGCAACTATGAACGGGACATGAAGAGCTAAAATAAATAAAATACAATAGAATTTCTTAAAATTAAAAACCAACTTGACACTCTAGGAAATCTGATTAGAAGATAAAGGAGAAATCATCACACCATATATAATATGAGTATTCCCTGAAATGGGATTAATTAATAGAGTGGAATAAATGGTTGGTTGAGAAAGGCCCAGCTGGAACAACAGTATTACAATAGGGACAGCTGGGGGCTGATCGGACTAGATAAACCATGGAGGATACACAGAACTCCCAGAATAAAGATATGAGGCTGCCTTCTGTTCATACTCGGAGTTTTTTTTTCTTTTTCAATTTGATATTTTGTTTTAAACTAAACACTTACCCACAACTTACTTACTTACTTACTTAATTTTAGAATCAATATTTATATGCAACTCTCTTGTTTTGTAGAGAAGAATGGCTCAACCACTACTTAGATTGTGATTTAGATATGCTGGCCAGCATACCGAATAATTGTTTATTTTAGGAATAGTGTACAGAATAAAAAAGATGGGAATAAAATAAGAGTGGGTCCATCTGCAGAAAAGAGCCATTTCCTTCCCTTCATTTCTCTCCCTGGAGCCCAGACTCTTTTCTTTACCAACTATTATAATGAGAATAGAAATATTTCAAACAGAATTTCAATATACTCATTTAATTAAGGTAAAAAGCAAACAAATTTGAATCTGATCTGGCCCCTACCTCAATATAACACTCCTTACTCTTACATATTAATTTGGTTACATTTTAATCGTGGTCTTTAATGAAAGGAAACATAAGAGGGATGTGAAATTGGACTAGTACAGATACTTTTCCGTGGCAGGTTTTAGTGTGTTTATAGATGCCATCTTTCTTGTCACTTTCACTTCGTTATTTCTGAGGTTACTTTATGCATTAATTTTAAAAATAACATACACAAACACAAATAAAATTAACATGACTGATTCTTATAGTTGTTGCCAAAACGTAAATAAAGCACATACCTGATTTAACTGCTGCTATCGCCTTTGTAGGGGTAGTCACAGCACTTATTAGGTTACATAGTGAGATCCCACTGTTGTTCACTTTCTGAATCTCCGGTGTTTTTAAGCTCCACTTTTCTTGTAATTTCTTGAGATGTAAAAACATTATTTTTCAGTCTTCTTAATAGTTTCAAATTTGCACATTATAATTCAATTTCTTAAGCATATCTTAAAGCTGTACTAATTGCGGGCCCTGATTTGTGGGGGAGTCGAGGAAAGAAAAAGGCACCATCCCTAATTTTCCCACAGCCAGGTGACTGTTAGCACTGTTGGCAGTGAGAAGTTGGGTACGGCCCATTCTGCATTCTGCTCCTTGCCACAGTGGAAGTAAGGTTACTCCTAGCTGCCATGGGTTCCAAAGTAACTGTCAACTGTAAGTCTGTAAAACTGTAGGTCACAGCCAAGTTACAGGACAAAATGTGTTAGGAACATTAAAAATAAATGGGAATTCAGAATTCCACTTTATAGTGTGTTTTAGTTATCAAAATGTCAATGAATTTTTAAAAACAGACACCTCCACAAATTTGGAGTAGAAAATTGCCCTAACTGGTCATAGGTGTCAGAACTTGAGCCAGATAACAAAATACTTGTGCGCTATGTACTCAGGAGATTCAAATACTTTCTGTCTTCAAATACGGATTATAGTGATATTTACAAGCTAGCATAAAATGCTGAGTGAGGAGAAAGATCTTTTACTAAATATTATGAGAAATGGTACCAAAAATAACTGAAACTAAGTAGAGATTTAGTAGGGAAAGAAACTTGGATATTAGAGCAACTCATTAATACATCTTTTTTTAAACAAGTAAAGTAACTGAAAGGGTATGTCCTTCCTCAAATGATCAGTTAACCTCCTGTTATGATTTCCAAAGAGCAACAAAATATACAGTATGTATATGCGGATCTAACTGACATTAGATATTAGATCAAAGAAAACCACCATCAGTCTTTTAACCTTTCATTACTGACACAGTCAAATGAAAAACTAGTATTAGATACAATCATTCACCTTAGTTTCTTCCAATGATTTTCCTAAATCCTCAGCACCAAAAGAAGGCTGCACAATGGGAACTCTTTCTGTTGTTTCTTTTATCCATGATTTCAATGATTTCACAAGGACTTGGAAAGCATCCAATTGTTCTTGACAAGAAGTTACAGCTTCTTTTCTAGATAACAAAAAGTCATAAAAATGTAAGCCACAGAAAGAAGATGCTCCAAAGGACTAATTACTAATAAATACATTCTTATTCCTATAGCAGGCTTAATATTAAGAAAACATCTTCCACGTGCAATCTAACCCTTTGATATAGGAGGAAAGCTTTCATAGGTGGTAAGCGAAATCAGCTAAGTAACTCTGTTCCTCAGGCAAGGTTCATAGATAAAGACAGCAGCAGTCAAGAATCTGTAACCCATATGTAATGGCACTCTATAATGCTACATAAACTCTAAGACTACATAAACAGTTTTAACATTATTTAGATTCAATGAGCTTTGATCTGTCTACTTTATGTGAAGCTTCCTGCCAGCAGGCACAGACTCAAAAGGGAAACATTTACAAATCACCCACTAGAGAAAAACATAGTGCCACCTAGTGGTTTCCACACTCCGCTGCAGTCATGTTAATGGACGGATAAACTGAGTGCTTCAGGGAGTACAGATTTAAGTCTCCCAAAATGAGATGTAACCTAGTGACCGGAGAGTTTCAATGGGCACCTTCCCCAAGGAGACTTTAGGAAGCTTCGCGACGAACCATATGGATCTTTCTGCACACTGAGCACCATGCAGGGAGCATACACGCCCAGCACACAAAATACCGTGAGGGTGATCCCATTGAGCATGTGGCTGACATGTGCACATATGCAAGCGTGCAGAACATGGGCAGATAAGAATACACCACAGTGGGACTCATTACTGATGACTACAAGGTTCTAAAGTTGGACCCATTTGAAAGAAAAAAACCCAGAGATTACCTAAGGAAACCAAGAACATTTCTGTGGCAATATGAACTAATATATCCTATGATATGACGGAAAGTATAGCTCTGAGAAGTATAGACATCACTCAAAAGTTTTATGTAGAGAATTCTGAAGAAATAAAGAAGACTAGCTGAAAGAGAAATGACTATTTTCTATCTTTTGGAGGTCTTCTATATCAACTTCAGGAAAATCTGCATGTATATTCTAAAGCAACACAAGATAAAAAACACAAAAGTTAAGTCACAAGGCCCTGCAGAGCTTTTTAGCTCAACTTAGGTTCATTCTCTTACTTCTTGTTTTTTCATGGACTCATGTCTCATCTGCTACTCTTTAAAAAGTAAACTATTATATAAAAAAAGGCCATGCTGAAATTGCACTTAGTTTATGAATTCAGCTCAGAAAGCAAAGAACCATGAGCTGTCTTTCAAGGCTATTTCTGCCTTTGCAAATAAAAATGTGATATTTGCCAACAGCTTCAGATATAGCCAGTTTAGATCATTTTCAGAAATACACTATCACCACCATTTTTTTATATAATGCTTTCTGCTTTTATGTAAGAAGTATTGAATTTTCCTCTTAAGTACTTTAATAAATAATGTAATTTTAATAGCAAAAAATGTATCAAAAAATACTTATAAAGTTGTCCTATGCTTATTCTCAAGTTTTCAGAATTGTTTCAGCTATCTATATAAGTGAAAAGAAAGTAATTCACTTTAGTATCAAGGAGAATAAAACACAGTTTTTTAAGCGGTGCTTACTTTTCTTTGATGGTATCCTCCATTTCTTTGAATTTCTTTGACAAATTATTTGTTTTTTCAAAAACCAGAGCCTTATCACCTGGTAGGCCATGGCTGGATATCTCCTTCAGGAGATTATGCAAAACTTCAAGGTCTTTCTTGTGTTCTAAGAATTCAGAAGTTGATTCCTACAAAGTATTTAGATACTTAGTCAATACAGATGTTGCTGGATCTTCAACTGACATTCCATCCAGACATATGTATGGGATCAGAATATCTGTATTTAGGATTTCACAGAAGAGTAAGTCTGCCTATGATCGGTACTCTAAGTATAACAAAATACAGATAGGCTATTTGAAAGAGAATTCAGTAAACTATTTAATTTAAAAATGCATTCTATATATTGTCTCTTTGTGAGTTCTGGCACATAAGATGATACTTGTATCATCTATGATATGTCTGATAAATAGTATTTATTTCTAACAATGAGCCAAGGCTTACAGGAGAAGATAGGGTTTTGAGATTTTTAAAACGGGGAAATATAGATCTTTATTAATCCATAAGCAATTAAAACGACAATTATTAATTATAATTCTGCCAATAAGCCTATGAGTTTGTATTAACTATTAATTTACTCGGTCAGCCTCATGAGGATTTAGGGAGACACACCTGCATATGCTGAGACAATTCAGTAACATCTTTTCCTGGCACATCTACTTCAGAAAGAGCCTGAGTTTTTGTTTCCAAAAATGTCTGGAGCTTTTCTGAGAGGTTCTCAAACAGTTCTACTTTGGTTTTTAGCTCCTCCATTTTGGCAAGTTTTTCTTTGTGTTTATGACTTGCTTCCGCAAACCGAACAGACAAGTCCTTCATTTTGGCCTGCAGTGAGGACGCAGTGGATGGGTCTGTTGTTTCCATAAATTTTTTTACTTTTTCATTCATGGCATTGATACTGCTCTGACGACCTGCAATATCTTGTTCCAACATCTGAAACAAACCAAATATTGCATGTGTTTTATAATGATGGTTACAAATAATGGGACAGGATTTCTTAAAAAATGACTATTCGTAACAACGTAAAAGTCTGAACCACCTGTGACTAAGAGGGTTAACAGTTGAAACTGAATGACAAGTTTGATCTGTCCCTTGAGGAATCCCATCCCAAATCTCTTCAAGGGAGCGTGGATAACAGCTGGCTAGTTGCCTGAATGAAGCAGGAAGCTGCTGCTACTCAGCAACCCCTAAGATCTAATGGAGCCTGGGGATTAGCCATGGTCCTAATTTTTAAAAGGCCAGACAACAACGTGATTGATCTGATTAGCCTCATGTGCAGCTGGCTGAAGCAATGATAAACAAGATAAGACTCAATGTACGTATAAGCCCTCCATAATGAATAATATTCAAGAAAAAGTACACAAAGCCCTTTCTATACTTCTTGGCAGAAAAATAGTTTTACACACTTTATTTCATGCAAGCACTACTTCCCATACTGTTATGTTCAGGAAACATCTCTTTTTTTGTGTCTTTAAATTTATCTTAAATCGACTTATTCTTTGAGCTTATACAACTGTTTTGTTTTGTTTTTTAACTGGAAGTAGGATTTTTTTTTTTTTTCTTTTTACAAAGTCACTTACAATGTTTTTACTGATGATATCCTGAAGAGCAGCGGAGTTTAAAGGCACTTGGCCTTGTTCTTTCAGAGAATTTTCCACACTTGCCATCCAGTCCAGCATTTCATCCAAGCCATCCTGCACACTCAGTGAACGGGTCAGGGTTACCTGGAGTTTTTCATTTCGTTCATTAACAGACTTGGACAGATCGTCGTATCTCCCAACAATGTCATCTAATCCAAATAGATCGGGAAATATTAACCACAAAGTTCTATTTGCCCTATTCCTTTTCAAAAATACACCAAGGTGCATCATAAATTTTCTACACAAAAATTTAAAAAAGGAAAAAGTTTAAATGATAAACTCATAATGCATAATCAGAATACTACCTAAAACCTTAAGAAGTCAAGGAAGAAGACAGCCTGGTGGAAAATGAAAAATTGAAATCTTAAAAAAAAAAATGTTATGTATATCATAATAACTGCATTTTAAACCACATATTTTTGGATGCCTAAACATTCGAATTATCCTAGATGAAAGATAAGTCTAAACAGCAAACCTTTGGAATAAATATTGGTTCTCAATCTGACATTTCAAATTAGCCATCCTTATCGATAACTATTTGGAGGGAAAAAAAGGTGGTAGTCAACACACAACTATCCTCAAGAGACAATACACTGTTATGTTTATCAAGAATTAACTTTTACATGTAAAACTTATCCCTTTCCCTCTCTTCCTCCCTCATACACATATGCTAAGCTTTGTCATCCTTCACGACTTAAGTACTCAAATATACAGAAATTGGCAGATACAAATGAATTGAGAAAATAAACAATGAAAATCCACTCAAAGAAAATTCAGATTATGCTTCTAAAATATACAAAAATTGAATTTATTTAAAAATTGAATAGCCAGAAAAAGGGAAACATAAACTTAACAGGCTAACCTATCTCATATGAGATAAGCTTTACTTTCATTTCTAAAGATTTAAGATGGTTAAAAAAAAAAAAAAACCTTTTTGGCTCAGTTTTCATTTGACTACATCCTGCACTCTATATTGCAGACCAATAAGAAGTTCGAAGAACAATGGTTTTTAATGTATTCATCCCTCTGAAATACAATCTTTTTTTTAAGCATGAATTTATCACGTATTGTTCAAGAATTCGGAAAGTATTTTAATTATTTCTGAATGCTTTAGTCTGATACACTGTAGTATGCTTCAGTAGAACAAAGTTGTGACTTGAAACATCTCTATAAAAGAAATATCTTACATTCCCTGTTTGGCCCATGAAACACAATCCATATACCAAAACAATATTTCTTTTGGATTATTTTAATGCTACATCATGAGAAAACAGCTGGTCAAATTTTCACTGAATTGAGAGCTTAAGTTTAGATGATTTGAAGAGACAATCATGCTCCTCTTACTAACACACAATGAAGCCCACGAGAATGCTTGTGGGGAGGGATAAGGCATTTAACATGCACCGCGATGCTATAAGCAGAGGAAACAAGCAGTAGGTTCAAATATGAGCCTTAATTTGAAAGTCACAAGAGCAGGTGCTCTGAATTGCAGCTGGAGATTGGCAGTTAGCTGCTACTCAATTAGGCAACTCTGTGAGTAACATCCGTGATGTGTTTAGCCACGGTAAGTGATTTTCCAAGCAAAGTTGGCTATTTTCATATAATCAACACAATTTGAGTGTTACTGTTTGTTAGGGACTCAATGTCTGTGTCCTCACCACCCCCAAATTCACGTGTTGAAGCACTAACCCCCAATATAATGGCATTTGGAAGTGGGGCCTTTGGAAGGTGTGGTATTACGATATAATAAAAAATACTTGGTCTCTGACCCCAGTTCCTGACACAGAGCTCCTAAGACCTTTGTGATTTCCTAAATAATAGGAGCACCTGACACAGCTCTTAAATCCCTTGAATTTCTGGGGTGATAGGAGCATCTTTCGTTCTAAACAGGTAATGATCTGCTTAGACTCCCGGACAGTCTCGGGATGGGGGCTGGTTGATTGGGGACTGGCCATGTCATCAAGAGTGTTGGAACTTTCAGTCTCACCCCCTAACCTCCAGGGAGTGTGGAGCATCTGAGGGCTGAGTTAATATCAATGGTCAATGATGTAAACAATCATGGCTATGTAACAAAGCCTCCATAAAACCCAAAAGGACTGGGCTCAGGGAACTTCCAGACAGCTGAACACATGGAAGTGTCTGGAGGGTGGTGTGCCCAGAGATGGCACCAAAACTCTGTCCTCCTTCTGCCATACCTCACCCCACACATCTCTTCCATCTGGCTATTCGTCTGTGTCCTTTGTAGTGTCCTTTATAATAAGTGGGTAAATGTAAGTAAAGTGTTTCCCGGAGTTCTGTGAGCTACATTAGCAAAATTAATTGAACCCAAGAAGGGTCATGGGAACCCTGATGTATAGCTGATCAGTCTGGAGTATAGGTCACAACCTAGGATTGGTGCCTGGACCCTGAAATGGGGGCAGTCTTGTGACACTGAGCCCTTAACTTTTAGCATCTGATGCTAACTCCAGGCAGATAATATCAGAATTGAACTGTAGGATCCCCAGCTGGTAACCACTTGAGAATTGCTTGGAGGGGGGCGGGAAACACCCCACACATCTGGTCATAGAAGTGTTCTTTGTTGTGCTGGATGGCATGAGAGAGGAGGTTTTTCCTATCTTTCTGAGGAGGTAATGAGGTCCTGAGGGTGGAGCCCTTGTGAATAGGATGAATGTCCTTATAAGAAGAGACATGAGGCCAGGTGTGGTGGCTCACACCTATACTCCTAGCACTTGGGGAGGCCGAGGCAGGCAGATCATTCGAACTCAGGAGTTAGAGACCAGCCTGAGCAAGAGCGAGACCTCGTCTCTACTCAAAATAGAAAGAAATTAGCTAGACAACTAAAAATATATAGAAAAAATTAGCCGGGCATGGTGGCACATGCTTGTAGTCCCAGCTACTCGGGAGGCTGAGGCAGGAGGATTGCTTGAGCCCAGGAGTTTGAGGTTGCTGGTGACTAGGGCTGATGCCAATGGCACTCTAGCCCGGCAACAGAGTGAGACTCTGTCTCAAAAAAAAAAAAAAAAAAAAGAAAAAGACATGAGAAGATGATCTCTCTCCATCACTCTCAACCATGTGAGGATACAGCAAGAAAGGAGCCATCCATAAGCCAGGAAGGGGCCCTCACGAGGAATCTGACCATACTGCCACCCAGGTCTCAGCCTTCCAGCATCCAAAACTGTGAGAAATAAATACTTGGTGTTTAAGCCACCCAGTCTATGCTATTTTTTTGTTATAGCAGTCTGAACGAAAACACTGTTTATTCTATACTTCTTAGTGATAAAATATTGTAACTGAAGTAAATTCTTGTTTCTAAAAATTATTTTAGAAAAAGGCACAAAAAAAATCTACTGTAAGAATGTTACTTTTTTAGTCATTGGTTTTCTTAGAAGTCAGATATATCTTAGAGAAACTCCTCTATATTTTAAATACAGTTTCACATATTCCTAGAAAATTATGCCAGAGAGAAGTTTTAGTGTCTTAAAAAAAATGTAACAAAATGAATTTTAAAACTAAAAATGAAACTGTGTACACTTAACAATGGGTAAATGTCAAAATGCTTCTTCAAATAACAAAAATACAAATAAGATAGTCTGCCTTTCTCCTTCAAATCCCTGTACCCTATGAGTCCTGACAGCAGTGGCCTCCATTATGGATACACAAGATGGTGCATTGGGAGAGAGAAACAAAATGTCAGAAATTCCTTCATATTTTCATTTTATACTTTGAAATTCTATATTTTTGTGTTTCATAGTTATAGTACACATAATATAATAATGTAGTAATATTACATATAATTTATATGCATATATATGTGCACATTTGAGAGTGCAGGCTGAAAATCATTTTTGATAGGGACACATGATCAAAAAAGTTTGGATGTCTATAAGAATGAAAAAAGGGGTTTCACTTCTACAGAGTGGTCTTGGAAAAGCAAAGTTCCATCCTTCTGTTCATGTAAAACTTCTACCCAGATTTTAATTCATGCTCTGTTTGGGGTGAAACATATGTCTCATCGTCTGCTGCAGAAGGTTTTTATTTCACACATTCACACATAGGAATATATTATAACCTCAACCCACACATTTAAATATTATGAAAAACAGCAAAGTAAAAACAAAAATACATACAACAAGACAATAAAAAAACACTGAGATATTCCATTGTACATTTAGCATAAACTAAATACTGTGAATAGATAAAAAAGAATAATACACAGTAGTTCTCTCAAGAAATAGATTCATCTAATGCAAGAGGGCACAAAAGTACCTTTGTAACTACAGACAAGTTTCCCCGCATCACTAAAGTATTGGGGTAACAGGAACCCTCATTTGAGTGAGCCCACTCAAGAACTTCCTTTAGAGCACAGAGAAGTGGGAACACTGCTTTAAAGCACATCTCTCGACTCCTTAAATTCCCACTATTGATAAAGACCCTCGGAGAGTCTATTCTGGTGCTAGGTTGAAAGTCTACCTCTGCCCAATCCCATCAACCAAGAGAATTTTGTAGAGTTCTACTTCTTGTGGTGGATATTACATAAAGAGTTTCTATTACATTTTATAAATGTAAAATTGAAATTTTTTTTCTGTTTTTTTTTATTTCAGCAGTAAAATTGAAATTTAAATATATTTATTTCAAGCAACATAGTCCCACCCCTGAGACTCTAATGTACTTGTCAAAGGAGGGGTGTCTGTTCCCAGATTCAGCAACACCATTCCACAAGGATCGTAAGTGACGTAATAGATAGTCATGAACATTTTTCCCCTACCTATCAGAGCAACTTTAGTTAGAATTGACCTGTGAGACAGGAAACAAGGCAATGACTATCTTACCAAGTGTTTTCTGGATATCATTTTTGGCTGGAAGTAAAGATCCCCTGGCATCCAAAAGCACTTCAGCTGTTTTTTTCAGTTTCTCTACAGCAACCTGCTGACTTGATATTTGTCCTTGCAGAGCCTGTAGGAGTAAATGTTTTTCAATCATACTCAGTAGGACTAATAAGATTGCTAACATGGAAAAAATGATTTATAAGATAAAGTTAAATTGGACAGAGTAAACTTTTCATCATATGAACTTTCACCATCATAAACTTATTCCAACATTCTTAAAATAAGGCCAGTTATAAAGCAGCATTAGCAAAAGCATCAGACAGGCTGGATAATACAAATTCAGTCTTGCAATAAACCCCTGGGCATATGTTCATAATAATTTGCCTGATCTTACGACCCTCTAACTTTAGCCTGAGTTATCCCTCAATCTCCACTTGTAAGCCTTGTACACTATCCAAAGGTTTTGAGCTAGGTATTAGCAGAATTTGTAAACAAAAGTGAGAGTGAGTTTAGGAGAAAAGGAGAGGCTGTTTTGGAATTCATGACTTGAAAGTGGTCTTAGACCCTCGTATAGAAAGAAACAGCAAAGCTGGGAACTGAGGAGCCTCTGAACACAAGCTGGAACTAGACAGAAAAAACTGGAGGCCAAGATATATGACAAGACAATGAGAAAGCCTAGGAACACCAGCAAAGGAGATTATAAAGAATCATGAAGAATATTTATATTTAAGTAATGGGGAACAGAGAAAGAGATAGAACAAATGTGACCAGGTAGGCAGAAACAGGCCCAGAATAATTCTGTCCCCAAAGCTTAAAGGAAGAGAGAAAGGGAAAAAGGTTAACAGTGTCAATTGCTTCAAAAAGGATAATGTAAACCAAGACTAATGAGTCCTTGAATTTACTGAATAGAGGTCCCTGCTGAGCTCTGAGTGAGCAGATGTAGTTCAACAATGAGAATGAGGAGAAAAAAGGTAGAAGCAGGAGTCACAGATAAGTCTTCCAGAAGTATGGCCCTACATTCCTAACACCGCTGACAGAGCTCTGCCCAAGTGGGCCACCTGGCCACACAGGCCCTGTGCGTGGCTTTGATTTCACTAGAGGTACTAGCTCCTCTTCAACTCCTGCATTTGGATTTCCCAGTCCCATATGTTCAATTATAGATGAACTCATCCCTGGCCATGGGCCCAGGTTTCCAACTGCCTCTTGAATGTTTCCATCTGGGTGATTCCAACAATCACTTCAAACTCTAAAAAGCTAAATCTGAACTCATCTTCTCACTCCCTATATCTGTGCTTCCTCCTAGGGTCAAATCTAATCACCCAAGTAGTAAACCTGAGGCTTCTCCTAGATACCATCCTCTTTAAGGCTTCTTTTCCACATGCAAATCAACCATCAAGCCATGACTATTTTACCTGCTTAGTATTTTTTTAAAACTAACTTTTGCTCTGATCAAAATTTCTAGATTGCTACAGTTTAATCTCTCACTTAGATTACTGCAGAAAGACTCCTACTGTGCTCCTGTCTCCAATCACTTCTCTACTATAGGTCCTAACACGTTTTATCTAAAATATATATCTGACCATATATCGCTCCCCTGTTTAAAATCCTTCGGTAACTTCCCTTCATAATAAAGGCCAAGACTTGAGCATGCTAGAAAAGGTCCAGTGAAATCTATTCCCTAATTCTATCTTCACTCTATCTTTCTCTACTTCCCGTTCCAGAAATGTCCAACAACATAGCTTACCTCCTTACTCCCACTGGACCAATGCCTTAACTTCTCCACCTATCAAGCTTTTCATGCAACTGACCCTCTATCATCCTGAACCTGGTTCTTGTTTGCCCTTTAATACTCAGCTGGGAAACCTTTCCTAACTCTCTCCTCACTCCCAGTTTTGTTAAGTACTCCCCACCAGGAGCTCCCATAAATACCCTGTGACACTATTACTGAATTTGTCTCTTCTATCATACCACTATAGCAATCACCAACTTGAGAACTAAGAAATTTCTCCTACCCAGCTTTCTATTAGCAGTGCCTAGACCAGGGATTGACACATAGCAGGCTCCAATAAAATTTTCTGGAATAAATGAGTGAGTAAGTAAATAAATGAAGAAATTAAGTGCAAGACCTAAACAGGGCCTCTTCTATTTCAGTATTATTAATTATTATTATTATTTAAAATAAATGCCTAAAGCTAATGGCAAAAATGTTCTCGACTAATCGTAATCCAAGAAACAGTGACGACATGCAGGCAGCCCATGTATATGTCAAAAGGCCCACTATGTTCAACATGTTATCTGAATAGCAGATCCTACAGTTGTGTCAAGAGACCTGAGAATCTTCATCAGAGTGGATCTGTCTGGGAAATTCTCCTAGAGGTTTTATTACAGAAAGTCTAAAAATCCCCCAAAACATGAATTTTATCTGTAACCAAACTGAAGTCTAGGCTACAGGGACAGCTTATTCACATCACAAATTTATTTAGGAGATGAAATAAAGTTAAGGGAACCCCCTCCCACTGCAAGAAAATTATTTTTTGAATGTGAGTTTACCAAGGGCAAAGGCAGGGTTTTCATATCATTATATCTTCACATAACCCAGCATACTAGTGTGTATATATATGAATACATACATGTAAAAAAGTTATCACGGTTCCATAAAAACATCCAATGCCAAAGATGGCCCTGCCTACCGCCTTCAAGCTTAGATATGAATTATAAAATAAGCATCTCCTCTTCATCACTTCTTCAAACATTACTCTTGATTATATTCAATATGATTAATAGTTTTTAATTTCTAACCTGTATTAAGTTATAATTTAATGAAAATAGTGGTTTATAGTGCCACTTTGAAACAAAACTGCAAATTATAAGTATTCAAATAAGTACCTTTATATTGTTTTGAATGGATTTCAATGAAATTAAAACATGAAAGAAGCATTTGTGACAGGAAAAACTGCAAGATTATGCCCTTGTCTCCTTGCCAGGGCCAGAAAAGAGTGAAGTCTATAAAACTGTGGGCATTTGTCCAGTTAATTAAAATTTCCTGACTTAACCCCCTCCCAGAGATCAGTGCAAACCTGGAAGGTAGACACTGCCAGTCAACATGCTGTGCCCCCTAGGGCTGGTTTCAAACCCAGGCCCTCTAGGCCAGTCCCAGAATTCTGTCTTCTGTGCCTCTTATGTGACTAAAATCTTGTTTTATCCACTGATTTCCCCAGAAGGGGACCTTGAGGAATGTTACAAGCCCATTGGCATCAGACTACTGACAACAAAGTTATCAGTTCTTTGAATAATAATGTTAATAGCACCATTAATAATACCATTGAACAGAATTATTTCAAATAAACTAATTGGGTATCTCAAAAATTACATTTATTATACAATAGAATCTAAGTAGGAGATAGTATGTTAAATGTAGAAAAGACTGATTTTTATGGTAGTCTTATGTATTTATGTTATTGTCAAAAGAAAAGTAATTGTAAAATATAAAATTATAAAATTCTTAATAAAATGAAAGAAATGGAGACAACCTAATCCTCATAAAAAATTTATCCTTCATACATTCTGAGATCCTCTGCAACAAAGATATATACGTATGCCAGGAAGGACTTTATTGGACATGTCATTTTTAAAATTATGCTGTGGCTTAATCAGAATTCATTTTCCCTTGAGATTTCCCTCTCTCCTTTTTATATTCTTCAACTGTCTTAGAACTAGAGAAGTCTTCTACAGCACTTACCAAATATTTTGTTCCATTTTAAAATTAATCCATGCATCAGTTTAATTAAAAAGCCATAGCATTTTAGCATTCTTTTGGATTTTTCTTTTTCTTTGCCCTAATTATATAAAAATTATTTTTATACAGGATATAATCAGTTTCCTAATATAGATCTAACTTTAAATGTATTTCTATTTTATATATTTCCTATACTAAAAATATCAAATTTACTGGTTAATGTAATATAGGCAATCTTAATCATTTTAAATGACTGGCATTTCCTACCAAAATAATGGCCTTAATGTCTTAGTATCTCCTCTCCCCCCACTACACATACTGTCCATAAACACATAATTGAATGGGAATTGAAAATTTAATTAAAACAGATCTGTTTTTGTACTTGTGTAAAAGAAGAAGAAAAATAAAAACAAAGACAAAAATCCAGGCCAGGCACAGTGGCTATAATCCTAGCGCTCTGGGAGGCCAAGGCAAGAGGATAGCTTGAGGCCAGGAGTAAAAGAAAAGACAAAAATCCAGGACTGAAAACGCACATCTGAAGGAAGGAGGAGATCCCTGGGAAGGCTGCATCAGTCTGGGGGTGCTGACCTGGCCCAGGGAACCTCCCTGGTGTCCACTGAGGTGGGAGCATAAACAGTGAGAAAGATAAATAAGTATAAAGATAAATAAATGGCCTGGACGATATTCAGTTTTGTGTGTGTAGGAGGGGCAGTGGAACGCAGGTAACAAACAGCAATGTCAAATCTGTTAAATAACATCAGGGAAAAAAAAAAAATGAATGGACTGTGGAGAAACAGAGTCATAACTCCCTCTGCAGGGAGAAGTATTCTTTTTACATTGTTTTTCCCCTATGCTAGGTGAAACTATCACAAAAGTATGGAAACTGGAATCTTTTTAGTAGGACTATTGAAGGATCGGATCTCTCTCTTGTGCATGCTCAATCTCTCTCTCTCTCTCTCTTTTTTTTTTTTTTTTTTACCTTGGTCTCCTCTAATTGTCTCTGCAGATTTTTGGGGTCCACAGCAATAGGTTCAGATAAGTGTTTGCTCGCTGTGGCCTCACAGGCCTGGAGCCCGGAAATAAGTCCACACGAAGCATCTTCATAGTGTTGATATTTATCCACCAGATCTTTAAGATTATTTCCAAGAACATTGCACTAAAAATCAAAAGAGAAAAGGGGTAGGAGATTAAAACGCATTATTTTCATTTGCATCAAATAACTGTAGGACCTAAGAACTATATAACTTGGAAAAAACTAGACTTCAACCAAAGTTAAGGAAAATTCTGAAGGGCTAAGATTTTCTCCTTTACATGAAGAAGCATCCTCTAAGAAGCCAAAAAGTAACTATCTCCTCATAAAAATGAGGAGATAGTTCTAGATTTCACCAACTCAAAAACATATTGACAAGGGCTGAATCTTAACCCAGAATGAAGGATAAAGATATCAATCATCAGAGGAGGCAGACCTACCAGGACACATTCCCAGTGGGTTTTCTACACCATGTGTACAGATATGCATTTGATGGGAAAGGTTTTAAAGGTGCTTCATAAATTGTTTCTCCATGTTGCACAAGATTAATACAACGAAAGCAAATAGTAATGCCCAAGACCCAACAATGGTCTTCGAATCATTTATGCTACCTGGTAAAGTCTGTTCCATTTATATTGCAAACAGGGAAATATATTCTTAGATTTTCTTTTTAAACAGAACTCTCTTACTTGTCCACAGAAGCAAAATAAGCAAAACAGTCTGCTAGTCATTAAGTATTAAAATAATATACTGATCACATATCTGCAAGACAAATACTTGTAGTAGCTGAGAAGAGAATAATCTGAAATGAAACTTCTGTCCCCAAGCTTGAGGCTACAAACTGGTGATATAGTCTTTGCTTAGTCAACACACAAGCGCCCTCTTGTGGTCATATTGGATATTAGAACGTTTTAGAGCTGGGGCTTCTTGGAAATCATTCTCTCAAAACTAACTAAATAACTTTAAGCTCCTAATCTTTAAGCACATTTCTCAGAGGTAGAGAGCATGAATAAGACTGAGGGAAGTGTGATAAAACTACCTTTTCTCTCTGCTTCGGTTTTTGGATTTCTTGCATCTAATTCCAAAAGTTAAGAGGACAAAGTGAAAACTATATAATCACAGATTTACCTTTTCTTTCAAAAAGAAAAATAAAATTACCTTAGAGTAGAGCGACCTGAACCGATCAGTAGCATGATCCAATTTGCTCTGAACTTCTCTGTGGGTTGCAGAAGTGTCAATATTAGCCTTGTCAACCTTGCTGCCATCCCTCTTGCTGCAAGACTTGGCAGCTTCTAACACTCTGTTTCCAGAAATTGTGATGTACCTCAAGTCACCTTTGTGAGAAATGACATCTTCTGAGAAACTCTTCTGCCTTTTCAATTTAGTCATCAAACCATTGAAGTCATCTGCACCTGCCTCCAGGTTTTCAAGTTCTTGTTCTGACTGCTGCAGCCAGTGCTCAAACTCGGTATAATCCGCATCGAACTTTTCTAATTCTTCCTGGAGAGAGCGTGTTAACTTCATTTTCTTCTCTGACTCAGCCAGCGCAGTTTCATAATGTGCTTTCAGTTCTTTCATGTTCTTCTGCAGTTTCTCTTTTTCCTCGGGGGAGAGATAGTGACCCTGTTTCTCGAGCAAGGCTTGTGCAGACTGAGTGGCCACGATGACTGCTTGGTGCTGAGAGATGATCTTCTCATGTTGGGCCTATGTAGAAACAAATTGACCATAACCTCCAAGCAGCGACAGGGTTACACTGTAGACAGCTCCCTGTCGCTTCAGGACTGACAGGATTCAATAAACGACAGGGCTACAAATTGCTTCTCATTCCCCTTTTTGAGTTGCACAATATTCCCCTATTATGCGTGAATTTCAGAGTAGCCAGAACTGCATTTTGAGCACTCCAATCTTATTTTTAATGACATTTCCAACCTTCTCTAGAAAGTATTTAGACAATCACATAGGACAGATACTGTTTTTGAAAAGCCTGGAAAAAACGTAATAAATTCCTATTCCAATTCTAACACAAGCATCTGTATAATCTGATCTTATTTGACTCACTGCTTCCTTATGAAAAGCCACCCAAAAAGGACCACTGCTGTCTGTACCTAATTATAGAGCAAATAAGTACAACATTTTTTATTAGCAAACGATCCTGGAAAAACATTTAAATAGGAAAAAGAATTTATAATTTTAAAGCTATAAAAACATTTCAACAAAAATTAAGCAAGAACACTGTACATCCAGAGAAGCTCAGTGAAAGTTAAAGGGACACATGAGACAGAATACTAGCGGGAGCTATTAGCTTCACTATGCCTCAGTTTCCTGCATGCGACAAATGGAGACAATAACTATCCCACACATCACAGGTCTGCTGTAAGGAGTACACGAGATCACACACGTAGAGTACTTCCCGCACAGCCCGACACGTGCCAGAGGCTCAAATCCACTCCCAAGGCAGGAAGGGCAGGCTCCCGGGCAGGTATGCTGTGAGCAGGTCACAGATATGAGCTACTGGTCCCCTCAGCCTCTTGGGCCACAGATGGCTAGAGTCCCTTTCGCTCCAGCCATAAGCATCTTTTCCCAATCACCCCACTATGCCACACAAATGCGGCAGAAAGGAAGATAATCCTTTTGGGCAATTTTCTATGTTTCTTATAATGGCTTGCATGGAGCCAAATAACCTGATCTTTTCACCTCCTAGCTCTTTCTGCTACCTCCAACCTCTTTGCTGCTCCCACCTGTAACCCCCTCCCCACCTTGGTAGACTTTAGGACCTTTTTCTCTGTTGCTCTTTGTCTAGTAACAGGTCTTTCATCCCTCATCTTCTTTAAGTCCTATTTAAACATGGAAAACTGGCCCCCAACCCCACACTCAACCATCCTCACCTAACACTTTAACTTTTCTCCCTTAGCACTCACCACCTTCCAACACACCATCTAACTTAGTTATCGTGTGCTGTATTGCCCTCACCACCCCCCACCCCCCAGCATGCCAAGCGCCAGAACAGGGAAATTATTTTGCTCACTGGGGAGTCCCAAGTACCTAGAGCAGTGCTGGCACATGGGGACTGAGTACAGATGACTGCCAAGTGAAAAGGACTTAGAAGCACTGCTATATAGGGCAGCCATTCACTGATCCCAATAGGTCAGCTGAGAACAGGCTCATTAACACTGGTACCCTTATCGCCTGTAACAATGCCTGCCACATTTGTGGGCACATGATAAATATTTTTGACTAAATAACATTCCTCCCACAGACTGTCTTTGGTATTTGAATTATATTCATATGCAACCCTCCAGAAGAGCTCTGCACATAATAGCATGAATAGATATTTAGAATGCCTTTAAATCATCAAACCCATCCCCTTCCTTATACAGTAGGGGAATCTCAGCTTAAGGAGGGGAATGGCTTGGCTGAGGACATGTGGCACAATTACTGAGAGCTAGAAATCTTGGTTCAGGCCCTTTGGACATTTTCTCCACTCCACCAGGGGATTAGGACTTCCTAAAACACATTTAGATTCCTATATTCTTAGGGGTAAAAAGATCAGAAGGGGACTATCATACCTTCGCTAAAAAACAAGGGCTTTTCCTGCATGACATCTTTATTGTTTAAGTCTACCCACTGGTATTTTTCACTACTTTGGGCAAGTTACTAAACTCTCCTGACTTCTTTCTAACTGACTCACAAAGTTCCTTTAGGGATTCATTAGATTTTTTTTTTTTCATTTTAAGAGATCTTATTTTTCATAATAAGGTCCTATAATGGTCCCTTAATATTTTGACACAGTAAATACTCCCACCCTTCTTCTGGCATAATTTATATTTTCTATGAGAACCTCACAGACAGCATTCTATTCCAAGGATTCCAAAGACAAAGAGTGAGAGAAAAATAAACTGAACTGCAAAAATTTCTAAAGTCTAGTCAACTAGACTAAAAACCAAACAAAAACCAAAAACTACCAAAAACCAAACATGGAAATAAAACGATCAGTTATATGACACTTGAGAAATGGTTCTACAAAAGTTGCCCTTGTTCCTAGAGTAGCATTAATGTTAGCTTTAATTTCCATCATGCAGTGAACTTTTAGAAGGGCTTTTATACCTCTTCTTAAAAACAGCCTTCACCGTAGAGATGAGCTGAGCCCAGAAAGAACTTAAATGAGCTCAGGACTGCACAGCAAGTTAGTCTATGAACATGGACTAGCGTTCGGCAGAGCTACTGAGCACATGGCCGTTTGAAATCCCAACTCCATCCCTTATTAGATGTGTAATTTAGGAAAGCTCCTTTACTACCGCAAGTTATAGTTTCACCATCTGTAAAATGAAAATAAAAACCTCAACGAGTAACTGGGACAACTAAATGTGTTAAGATGGAAATTGGTTGGAAGAGTGCCTGGCCCACTGCAACTGCTCTATAAATAGTAACTATTAGTATTTCTAAAATTAATTCCCTATAATTCTGCTTCACTTACATGGAGAATGTCATATCTAATGACTTATTTCTCATTATTTTTTTTTTTTTTACTTTCTTAGAACTCTCACAATAATTTATATTTGACATAATGATGAACCTAGGAAAAAAAGGACTTTCACTCTCTGTGGGCACTAAGATTTGAAAAGATAACTCATGTGCTAGGTTTTTTCCATCTTTACTGACCTGGAAATAGAATGTAACAGTATCACTGCATGTACAACGACATACCTTCACTTTCTGGTATTGCTGGTTCAGATTCTCCTCAGTGGTTCCAACTTGCCCATCTATATCAGTGTCCAGCAGGTTTCCATTAACTTCATCCTCTTCTCCAATCATCGACTTGCCATTGCCTTCTTGAAAATGGGTCCCATTCTGCTCAATCACCTGTTTGTGCTTTGTCTCTGCCCTTTCTGAGCCTTTGTCGACATCGGACAACCAGTCTAAAAGGTTTTCTATCTTGGCTTTGCTTTCTTCCAGCTGCTTCACAGCTGCAACCTGGGCAGGGAAAGTTCACAAGAGGTCATTTGAACATGGGGCTGGGGCGGTTTTAGGACATTGGAAAATTTCGTTTTCGGATCACTTTAAATTAGAACGAGGACGCTAAAAACCGACACACATTGCAAACTTAGCGCACTGAAATTAAATGTTAGAGCAACGGGAAGTTACTTTGAAGTTTTCACTGCTCCTAAAAGTGCATTCCAAAATTTTATAATTGATGAGGGATCATACATATTTCACAAGTGGAAAGTCTCATAGCCCCACTTAAATTTTAAGAAAAAGTTACGCAAAGCCAATTCTGCAAGCCTTTTGTAATATTTGGTCAGTTCCGTATCTAGAAACCCAGAATTCTAGCCCTTGGTGCTAATCATTGCTTATTACCACCTGATATCACTTAATAAATCAAGTAGTAGTTGAGCCAATCATTGGCGACATAGCAATAGTGTGCCATATATTTGAATAAAGACCTTTTCAGTTTCTTCCTTGATTGCTGTCGTCACAACTTTATCCAGCTCCTTTTTCGACTGTTCTGCTTTTAAATTAAGCTGTTCACACTTTATCTTAGCTTCATTAAGTTTCTGTTCAATCAAAGCCTTATCTTCTTGTGAAAGCTTTTCACCATTCTCCTTTAAGAAGTTCTCTGTGTTTTTCACTATTTCTGCCAATGCCTGTGCACTTCCTTGTATATCGTTCTGTAATTCCTTATAAAAAGAAAAAAAAATTATTAAATTATTATTTATTTAACTCTTCCAGAGGTGTAATTGTAAAAGAAGGAGCGAGCAGAGAGATGAAGAGTCTAGCACATGTAGTTTGAAAAACATATTCAATATGTTAGCTTGAGTTGGTTTATTTCAAACGTGATATTTAATATAATTTAAAATCTCAACATTAAAGAAAAGTATGGATTTTCAGATTTTCATGTTCAACAAAAGAATGTAGTCTGAAATATTGAAAACACTGAAGTATTCAGTATATAATCTATATAAATGTATACACACCAGATTTTTAAGCTTGTAAATATATTGTAATATTGATTATTTCTAAACCTTCATTTTTAAAAATATATCTACTGCTCAGGATAAAAACAAATAGTTTCCCCAGTGAACTAAGATACTTTCTTCATCTCAACACCAGCTTTTATAATATGTAATGTTTCCTTCTTTGCCCTGGCTGCTAGGAAGCTCGATATTAAGATCTCTCCTCAGTAGTTATAGCTTTCCTCTGTCTAGATTTCTCTATGTATTTTTCCCTCTTCTTTTCCTCCTTTATTATGTATTTTAATTCCCTATATTATACTGTTTGCGTTTCAATATTATTTCTTTCCATACTTTATTTTAACCCTCAAAATTTTCTGAGAAGTATCTGAATCAAAAGAAATCCCATTTATTGAGCCATTAATATGTGACATTAACTGTGCTAGTGACTTACACAATATTTACTTAACTTTTACAATAACATAGCAAGGAAAGTATGACCAATGAAGAAACTGAGACTCTGAGAGATTAAATTATAAAGCTAACAAGGCATAGAGTCTGGAATTTGAACCAAGAACTATCTAGTTACAATGAGAATGTTTTCTCTCCTGACACTAAAATCAAGATACCTTTATTTGTCATTTTCATGTTTGTTTGTTTGTTTTTTCACTTTCCTTCAATACAAAGGAACGAACTGCAGAGAAAGAGGGAAGAAATAAGAAGGAACTAAGAGAAAAAACTCAAACTGATGGCTATATTGCCTGATGTGCATGTGAGTAGCTTGGCCTTAAATCGATTCAAATTTTAATTCAGGGGGTGTTTTTGCCACCGCTGCCTGTCCTGCTTAGCAGCCTACTAGTCCTGGGGGCCCACAGTGCGCATGTGTGGAATGTGCACCTCACTCTCCAATGGCCCTCCAATGGCCTGAGGGACAGTGAACTGGCCCCCTGTTTAAAAAGTTTGAGGACCCCTGTTTAATTCATCACACGTGGTATTTCTATTATCAAACCTCTTTTATATCTCCTCCACTCAACAACTCTTACCAAAAAAGTGAAGAAAATTTCCTGGCTTGCTTGAAGTTAGAAATCTAACTTTTAATATGAAGTTTAAAACTCCAGGTATGCCTTGCTTCTGAAATGCTAAAATTATTGGTATTTTTCAATAACCCTAACTGCCTTCCAAAGGATAGTAATCAAGCCTGACATCGACACAGGGCTGCTGACACAAAACCAAACTCTTACCTCTTGCTTGGACTGGTACTTCTTTAACTCAACTGTGCCATCTCCAATCACAAAAGCTTCTTGGTGACCAATCAGCCGGTTTTCAGTTTGGGTGAGGAGATCGCAAATGCCTTGGAGTTTCTCTTTGTACTCCCGCTGACGCTCTGCCACAATCTAAAGTGAAGAAGCACCAAAACACCTTAAATGTGTGGTCATAAAAACGACTTTCATGCACCATCATGATAGCTCTCTATTAGAACACATTTTCAAGTTTCCTCTACTAAGCCTTCATAAGTATGCTGTAAACATGATAGCAGTGGGGTACAAACTGAGCAAGGTGAGACAGACAGTGAGCTTGTCCCTTAAACAAGGAAAGAGATCAAGTGTAGATGAAACTGCTCGACAGAATACTGGCCATGCAAATGTGTAAGAGATGGAACTTCTGACCAACAGGAAGAAACATCCCATGTTCTTAAGCTCTTGGAAACTGCGACACACAGAATTAATTCTGCAAAAGGACATCAAAAGAGAAGTTAGTCGTGATTTGCCAGTTAACATATTTGATATGTGTATACAGGTTATCATGCTAGAGACAATGCCTGGTGCTTCAAGAAATAATAAAAGGAGCACTGCATGCAATATTTTTACTTAATCACTATGTCTAGTTGCATTCCTACCTCTTTGCTCATTATTGCTATCAGCACTCTAATACAATTTGTTAAAACTTCTAAAAGAGTGACTTAAAAAAATCAATGCTAATGGCCTGCATCTTTCATTTTCCTGTTATATATACACTAATTATTCATCTCATAGCTGTAGATCGTGTTTACTAAAAGTCTAACACATGCGAGGCAAAGTACAAAGTTGTTTTTTTTTTTTTTCAAATATACATTCTTTTATCAATGTTCACAATACTACCAGGTAAGTACTATTATTATTTCCAATTTCTCAGTGAAATAACTGAGTTTAAGTGGCTTGCCCTGGGTCACAGGAGTGAGTAGTACACCTGGGGTGTAAACTCAGACAATCTGGCTCCAAAGATTCACCTCCCAGAGGAAAAGGAAACTCTTCACCTTCTTTAGTCATATGTTTATCAATTTATTACTTGCAGTTTCTGAATGCATCCATATTTCCTACTCTGAGGGGAAAAAAATCAAGACTCTCACCTGAAATGAGTATTTTTGGGAGTCATGAAAACTAAAATCAACTAAATTATAACATCATTATGGAAAACAATAATCTTTATTGTTACACACTGTAGGATCTCTATGCCATACCCTGTCCATTAATGCCTTTACAGAAAAGCTTTCCTTTCATGCTATAATCCCTGGGCATCTACGTTACAGTTTCGCACTAAAAGCAAAGAATTCCAACCGCACAAAGAAAGGCAAACCTTCTGGTCATCAAGATCTTGTTCTAGCTGTAACTGAGTCTCTAAACGTTCCACCTGGGTAGTTACTGAGTCCTGTACATCCAGAAAACACTTCTGAGTTGTGTTTAAGAGCCCCAGCAGTTGTTTGTTTTGGTTGGGAGACAGATCTTGTGCATATTCAGAAATGAAGAACTGCACGTCAAAGGCAGTAGTTTCCAGCTGCATTTTGGTATGTCCAAGTTCTTTTATTATATTCTGTGAACAGAGTAGTGCAAGTTACCAATAGAGAGCTATGCCATGATAAAGTTTACATTAGCAACAATATTTTTAAAATATGCTTCTTATACCAGTGACTGAAAGGTTTATTGACTTTTTTGTTATTTGTCAAAAATCTATTCATCATCTAGTAATAGATGATGATAATAAATTATTTAAATACTGTGGTAGCTGGTATTATATAAAAAGATAAATAACCTCTCTCAAAAGGTTACATCACACTTAAAATGTAACTCTGACAAAAGGCAAAGATCCAATTTAGGTACACTTAGCACACTGAAGGGAAACATCTACATTAAAATATTTCTTGCTAATATTTACAACATACATGAACACATAAACAAGACTATGGGAAATCTGAAATATGAATTAAATGAGCCAGAATTTCTGTTTTCTGACTTCCCAGGCTGTAAGCCTAACCAAATTCATGAGGCATTCTGTTCAAATTAAGAACTTGGGGAAAAAAAAAATCCAGCATGCCAAAAGGGACTAACATATAAATACTGTCAATCACTGTATAACAATATAACAGGCTGGGCGTGGTGGCTCACGCCTGTAATCCTAGCACTCTGGGAGACCAAGGCGGGAGGATCTCTCGAGGTCAGGAGTTCGAGAAAAATGTAACAATGTTTCAGTCAACGATGAACCACATGTATGATGGTGGTCCCATAAAATTGTAATACCATATTTTTACTGTTCCTCTTCTGTGTTTAGATACACAAACATATCGTGCTACAGTCGCCTATTACATTCTGTGAACGGAGTAGTACAAGCTACCAATAGAGAGCTACGCTATGATAAAGTTTATATTAGTAACAATATTTTTAAAATATGCTTCTTATACCAGTGACTGAAAGGTTTATTGACTTTTTTGTTATTTGTCAAAAATCTATTCATCATCTAGTGATAGATGATGATAATAATTATTTATTTAATAATTATACAGCATTTAGCATCATAACATGCTGTACAAGTTTATAGCATACAAGCCATAGGCTATACCTTCTAGGTTCTTATAATTACGACTGTAATTATGATGTTCACACAGAGACAAAATTGCCTAATGACACATTTCTCAGATGTATCCCCATCATTAAGAGATACACTACCGTGCTATTTATACTATTACATATTTCTGTGCCTATTTTTATATGACTAATTACTACTGTTACCTACTTATGTAACTAACACATAAATACATAAATACAAATTTCAACATGTCAGTGGTAGTAAGAGTGTGATAAGGTATTTGGGATAGCAGCAGAATGGCATTCATAAAGTTATGATTATTTTATAGTTGTAAACAAACATCTCTAGAGACAAAGAAGGAAAATAATCCTATAGCCTTAGCAAAGTCATATTTTCTAAACACTAATTGTATTAAATCCATAGGTTTTTTGAATATATTATGTCATATTTATTTTGATACTTGCCTTGAGAAACTCCAAACTTTTCTTCACATGTTCAGCATCTTGAACATTCACAATCTCAATATCCTTCACAGATTTGCTCTTCTCTGATATCCAGTCTGAGAATGACTTAAGTTTATGCAGAAATCCTTCATGGGAAACTGATAGTTTAGACTAGAAAATAAAATTGTGCATTCATTTCTGTCTGTCCCCCAAATTTCATATCATTACAAATAGTGATTCTGATGTTAAGGGTTTAACATTCTAAACATAAAATACTTCATCTTATGACTAAATTCTCAAATAATCAAGTTTTCTTCAAAAATGAGATTTTTGTATTTTATATGCCTACCATTTCAGAGTCAATTGCAATCATGATCTGTTCCCTTCTTTCTGAAGACATGTTGCTGAGGGAAGAGAAGGCGGTCTGCAAACTCTGGTGGCTTGCACTCAATTCCTCAAGATGCTCTCTGGGAAAGTCACTGGGAAGAGACTTTAAGAAATCTTCTGCCAACTTCATATCTTTTCTTAAAATAATAGCAATTGGAGCCAACCCCAATTCAAATGTCTGCAAAAAAAAAAATGTATCTATTTAGATTTACTTTTTAGTGTAAAACACAAATATAAACATGAAACATAAAAGTAAAGGGCTCCACTTCTTTCTCCAAATCTAACATCAGCTGACTACCAGGTATAAAGAGGCAGCGGACAACTCTTACCTCTAACTGTTTAAACTGATTCTTCAAAGTTTCTAGATTGTTATCCAGAGACTCCTGGTTGTCTAAGGGGGGTTTCATATCTTGAAGCAAAGCCAAATACTCATGCATTTTTTCAGTGTGTTGTGAACACTGCTGCAACTCGCTGGAAAACTAAAAACACATTTGGATATTTTACTTCAGTAGCCTTTATGCAGATTTTTTTAAGCAAATCAAATATATAGGATTATTCCCAAGTGTTTCATGCAGGTACTTCCATATGAAAATGTATAAGTCAACTTACTTGTTCCATTGAGCTGTCTCCAGAAGTCATTCGCTTCAACTCTGAAATACATTCCAGATGGTTTGGGGAATCATTGCATAGCTCCTCAAGCTTCTCATCTCTTGGCAATGCTGATGCACACACAGTAGAACTTTCTAGTCCAATTTCTTTTATAGTTTGTAAATTAAGAGAACAGTGGTTTCCTTCTTTGCTTTTAAGGTCATCGAGAACGTGTGGCTTTTCTTTCACCATCTCAGAAGTACATGCTTTTTGATTCAAATCTCCAACCTGTTCTACTTTTTCTGAATATCCACCAGCAAGCAGCTTGCAGAAAATATTTTCAAGTGGTAGTGGAAGGACTTTAGATGAAACCCCTCTTTTGCCGAGGTCATACTCCATTTGAGTTAATTCTCTCATCAATTCAAATGTTCCTGGAATCTTTTGGCTATGTTGATTTTGCTTCAGTATGGCAAGGAGAAGCTGAGACTTAAGATTTGCAATAGGATCATCTCTACTCTCCGCTCTTAGATCCGATGAACTAGTAATGGGGGAAACTCCAGTATAGTCACTGATTTTAGAGTCACTGGGTATATTAGATGCTTCGGTTACCAACTGTGATGTGCTAACCATTTTAATTAGGTTTTGAATTAAAATCCTAGTGTCTACACAGGCTGAAGGTTCTTCAACCTCTTGAGGATTACTATGACTTTCTTTCAACCTGCTTTTTAAGATATCCTTTATATCCTCAACAAATACCTGAGACAATTCAGGAATCTGAACCTCCTTTTCTTGGGGTCTTGGAGACAAGGCTTGTTCTTTTGGTGGCTGTTCCTCAGTTCTTTCTTTCTCGTTGTTAATTTCTAAGGATGAGTAGTCAGTTTCTAAAGTGTTACTGGAGTTATCATTTCTTGTTCCATTTCTACAGAGCTCTGATGGCACAAAATCAGTATTTTTTCCAAGGTCTTCCACATTTCTAAGAGGTAAGATGGAAAGTGTGGTTTCTTTACTGGCTGGTGCAAACGGAGGAATTTCTGTTCCTCCTTCTGAGATGCTTTCTTCAGTACAAAGATCATTACACTGGACCATCTCATTTAGAGGCGAGTTTTCTTGGGAATGAGTTGACTTCTCTTCTGCATTATTAACTCTTAATTGCAAATGCTCTTTCATGGGAGGGGCAGCTATTGAAGCACAGCTTGGGACATCTTCATTGGGTTTCGGCAGATCTTTTGCTTTTATATTTTTAGCACGATGTTTTAAATAAGTAAACAAATCAAGCTCTTTTTCAGGTCCATCAGTGAGTGAATGTTTCTCAATATGCGTACTCTCTTCAGAGGATGGAATGTCTGAAGAAATGTCATCACTGCTAACTTTAGAAACTGATGTGTCAAATATTTCTTCAAGGTTCTCAAACTGCACAGGACTTTTACCAACCACTGTTTGTAGATTCTCTTGTTCATGTTTAGGAGCCACAGTTGCTTTTTGAAGGCTTCCTTTCTGATTAAGTTCTTCGTTGTTTGTGATTGGTGGAAATGGAAGTGGACTATTAACTAAATCGGGACTATCCCTTGTACTTTTAGTAGGCAAATGTTTGAGACATTTATTTTCTTCTTCTACTAGACCTTCAACCAGCACTTCTCCTTTACCCAAGTAAGTTTTCTGAATTGATGTTTCATCTTCTATTGGTGCATCATTTTTTCTATTTCTCCCTTTAATAAGATCTCTTCCATTTCCTTCATGATCTTTGTCAGTGACAGAAGCTATGAATGAAAAATGGCTTCCCTCAGCAGCTTCTCCTATTAAATCAGGCTCAGAATAAATGATTTTGTCCAAAGATGAGTCAACTTTAGGTGCTACGTTCTCAAAACATTGATCTCTACCTTTCACAGAGTCAGTAGATTGTGGCTCTTGAATCAGCTTAACCTCTGTTTTTGTCAGATTATCTAATTCAGAAGTTGAACTGATATTATTGTTAGATGAAATATTTACAGGGTCAAAGGTTTTTTCAGATGCAGCATCTTTAATGGTAGGCAGCAATATATCCTTAAGTGTTACCTCATCATTCAACAGATTTTCTTTGCCTTTTCCAACAATCTCAGTTGTATATGCTGGAGCGTTGCTTCTTTCGGTAACTAAGCTACTCTTACCAGTTGATTCCAGCTGTAAAACAGTTTCACCTTGCTGTTTTTCTATAAAACTATAATCATGCCTTTTATCCAGGAGAATCATTTTATTAATACTTTGACTTTCATCATTGTTTTCCTTTTCACTTGCAATAGAGGCACACAACTGGATATCCGTATCTTCAGTCTCATCTTGGCACCTGAGCTTTCTGTTCTCATCTCCCACTCCTCCTCCTCCTCCTTCAACACCAACATCGATGAAATCACCCTCGCCATGGTCATCAGCACCACCATCATCATCGTCATCAGCCTGATCATTACTGTCACATACATAATCCCCATAACTTTCTTCACTTTGCACAGAATCTAAATGATCAGTATCAGATTGAAATTCTTGTCCAGTTACATACTCTTCTTTTCTTCCTTTCCAACTACCAGTGTCATCAAATTTTAATGAAGCACTGAAGCTCTCTTTCTTTTCTACAATTTCATAATCAGTCAGTGAGTCAGACTCATCACCTTCAAGGGTATTTGTGCATTCCCTTTCTAATACAGTTTCTAGGGACCGTCCGTTGGCTTTCTCTGAACTAAATGAATCTAAATGTATTCCTTCACCAGAATCTAATTCAGCTTTCTCAATACCTATGAGAAAATCCTGAAGACACTGTGCTTTGCCCCTCATACTTAAGCTACCAACCAGTCCCTCCTGGGGAACCACAGAATTCTCATTCCCTTTTGAAACATCATAAAAAACATCACCGGGAGGAGCCATCCCATCGTTTTCCTCTTGCAGTGTGTCATAGTCCTCAGGTTGCAAACCATCCCGATCATCGCCTTCAAGAAGCAGAGAATCATGGTCATCATCTTCAAACAAGGGGGTATCATAAAAGTCATCATCACTATCAGTGTCTGTTCCTGTGTCACTCCTCTGACCATCCAGCAGTGACGTTTCATAGTCACCGGCACTCACGGTTTCTTCAAGCAATGGTGTCCCCAAAACAGGAGCTGCACAGGAGTACTCTTCTAATTCAGCCTCATTCTGCTCACGTTCAGGTTTCTGCTGAGAAGCAGTATGTCTTTTTTCATCCTCGCCAGAACTATATGACATATATTTATCACTGTGATATACTTGAGGATTACTACAACCGATATTTAAAGCTTTCTGTCCAGAGTCCTCTCCCTGTAAGCTAATGTTGATAGCTGCGATTCCCAGAAACTGGTCTTGAAATTTTTCTCCCATTCTATGACCCGATAACATGGTTTGGTCATTGAATGACGATGTAGAGGTGTCACATTTGTTGCCACTACTGTCCGGGGTGTGTGCCTCATTAAAACCTCCCCGACTGTGCCTCAGTTTGTCATGAGTTAACAAGGCGCTTAGCCTGGGGGAATAGTCAAAGGTAAGTGAATCCCTGTTTGCATTATCTCCATTCTCTGTTTCATTCCAATCACAGAATCTACCCTCTTTTGATCTCACAATAGGGTTTGTTATCAAATCACTTGCAAAGTTTGTAATGTCTTTAGAATGACTACATTCATTTGCATGTTCGTTAGTTTCAACTGGAGTCTGATTTTCACAGTGTTTAAGTATGTTTTCAGAGTCATGTCTAAGCATGCTAACTTCTGCAAGTTCAGTCTGTGTTAAATATGATATGGGATTGGGAACACACACACTGGAGGAACTGTTAACTTTATGATCAATTGATGTTATATTTGCTGGGCTTTCTGACTGACAGAATTCACTACTGATAACATTATTTCCCATTTCATGAAATTCTTTGTCTATGGCACAGTTTTTATTTTCAGGGGTCTCTTCAGGTTTAGGCTCCCTGCAATGACATTGATCAAAACGACCTGGTGAAACTGTACATTCATCCTTTTCTTTACTTGGAGCATTATTAAGAAAGTTTAAGACATCAAGATAATCTTTTATGGGTGTGTCCCCATGCAATTCTGTATCACAGCCTTCCAGCAGCATGCCAACAGCCTCATCCAAGTCTCCATCGTACAGCAAAAGCCTCTGCCCTGTGTTTGCATCCATATAGCTATTTATCATCAAATAAGACAGGAATAATTTTTTAGTTTGTTCTGAGCTCTGAGTTGCCACTGGCTCTTCTCCATCAAAAACCTCCTCTTCCTGCCTATAATCATGAACTGTTGATGGCTGGAATTTACAAAACGAGAGCCATCTTCTGGTGTTTTTACAAGTTTCTAAATCTCCTAGATCTGGCATTTTGTCAGGCAGTGTTATATTCTTTAAAATCAATGCTGTGTTATTATCTATAATCCCCAGCTGTTTAGCAACATCCAAACCAATGACTTGAGAACTTTCTGGAATATAAAGGGCAGCTATTTTCTGCCTTCCATTCAGGATTTTGTAGGCCAATTCATTTGTAATCAACTCTTGCTGCAAGGACGAAGATGTGGGAAATATTTCGCCAGAGTGGGGCCAAATGAGTCCCACGTAGCCTCGCTGAGCCTCTAGTACCAGAAGAGCACTGCTGGAAGTGATTAAATCACACTGGACTGCTTCGTCCACAGTTAAACGCTTGGCAGGGTTTGAGTGGATGATGCCACCAGTTTGAACCTGGTATGTGAGAACACTGCTGGCAGTGTCTCTGTCAATCACCCCTTCTGCCACTGCCTCTTCGACAGTCATTCTTTGACCGGAGTGGCCACTGATCAGACCTCCAGAAAGAAGCTGTGCCCCCAATAGCCTAAACATGGTTTCACGGTCTATGAGACCTTCGTGAGCTGCTCTTAAAATGCTTATGCTTCTTCCACATTTTAATGTTATTCTGCCTCCTTCTTGTGGTCTCACGGGTAGAAGCCACATTCCAGTGTTTTCTTGTAAAATACTTCTTTGCACCATCTCTATTAAAGACACCTTCTCAGAGGTACAGGGGTCAATAAGGTCTTTGCACATAGTTTGTCTTTCCAGGACTTTAGAAAATAATGTGGAGGAAATCAGGTTCTGTTGGAAAGCCTTCTGTAGGGTCAACTGTTCTCCTGTGGCTGGAATAACCAGAAAGCCTGTGGAAAGCAGTATCTCAAGAACTTTGATGGCCATGGATTCTGATATCGCGCTTTGAGCCAGAGCATCCAGTACTGGAATGCTAGTAGATGACACAGCAGAAATGATCTCCTTAGCTTTATTTAGTTCTCGGAGTTGGCACGCAATTTGTTCGTCGATAAGGCCATGACTTTCAGCATCTTTAAGATCAAAGCACTTTTTTAATTCTGGTGAAATGAGACCAGAAATCAGTAGTTGTGTCTCAAGCAACCTAATTCCTGTGTCATAGTCAATGAGGCCTCTTAAAACTGCCTGAAAGATGGAAAGGACTTCTCCAGTTGTCTGATCAATGGTGCCTGCAATCACTTTATCCAGCTGAAAGGAAAATACAAAAAAATTTCAGGTCAGTCTGTTACACGAGAGTGGGCAGAGTTTCATGCAACTTAGGTTTTTTTTGTTTTTTTTTTTAATAAATAATACACTTCAACATAAAAATCCTATACTTACCAAGGTGCAGCAATGCTGTGAATGTTAGGCAGCTCAAATGCACAAGTGATCTATGTCAGTGATCTATTCAACAGCACAGGATGTGATAAAAGCTTTGAAAACAACATGCATCTGTGAATTGAAAACTTAATATTGTGTATATTAACAAGGTTAGTGAAGACACACAGAGTAGATGATGACAGTGAGAAAACAGAACACATACCTAGAAGGCAAATCATGCTTTCTGCACTCGGTGAGATTAGAGTCTAGCGGCATGAAAGAGAGTATCAAACCCCATGCTATTGATGTTTACAGCATATGCACTTCTTCAAAGACAGTAAAAGACTAAGAAACCAGAAAAATCATTACGTACCCTCAAAACATGACAAATTATGTGGAAAGTATTCCCGGGGGTAACAAAATTAAATATAAAGGTCACTTTTTGAATACTGAAAATTATGCTGGGCATGTTGACATAGTCAAGGCTTAGAAAGTTTAAGTACCAGTCAAATTTTAAATGATTTGTTATATTTTAAGAAGATGCTAGGGCATCCTCACTATAACACATGGACTTGTATTACTCAAATAAGTCTCATGGATATCTCTGAAAATCAAACAAACTTCATAACACATCAATGTCACCTTTAGGGATGACTCACAGGCTCTTTTAAAACATTATATTATATAATATCTAATATACTAGAAGAATGGCTTTTAAAGAGAAGAGTTAGAAAAATGAATGATATCTTTTCTTTTACCATGCAAGGCAGAGATTAAGATGTCACAGAGACTGATGATCAGCATGTGTAAGATTGCATTTAATAAACACCGAGATCTCCAAACATTTAAATAAACTCCATCCATGTTTTAAATAAACTCCATCCATGTACAAAATTCAAAGTTATTTCTTTATTATTGACATATATTTCCACAGCCATGCAATAAGACTAAGCTTCTTGAAACAGCTTCATGTTTAAATAAACATTACCTTTTCCTCTACCTTTACATCTCCTGAGGTTTGTGATTCTTGCAGTTGTTTCAGAGATTCACTGAATAATAAATTATAACCTTCTTGAAGAGTTTTCACTTGTTTTTCCAGTTCAATTCTTTCTTCATCTGTCATTCTAAAATGACCAGAAAGTATGAAAAGGATAGTGCAAGTCTCCAAAAAGATGATATATTCGGTTCAGTAACTTTGTCACATGATTATAAAATAAAAGACAGCCTCACATACATATTTGTCAGCTCTTGGTATGACTGCATAGGAATCTTTGCCTTGCCTGAGAAAAGCACCGAAGGAAAAGATGTAAACTACTAATAATATATTGGCACTTCTCTAACATACAAATTTCCAGAATAACTGCTATTACCTGACAGAATGAAAGACCCCATTGTTACTCCTAAAATGGAAAAGGGATAATAAGGTACCATTTATCAAGATGAAATTTATTTCAACTTGAGGATAAAGAGAAAATTTACAAGGAACTTAACTTGACTCTTTAATACAAGGGCATTCTGCAATAATCCTAAAGTGGTCATCCAAAAAGGGTTTAAGAAAAGGACAAATTCCTTCCTTGACTGAGGTATTGGTTCAAAAAAAAGAGGTGCTTTGTTGCAAAAAGTAGGACCAAAATATGAGAAATCAGGCTGCCATAGGTCTCAGCTAAGAAAATGAAGGAGACAATAAACATATTTTCCAAAAGGTAAGTCTCATAGAGTACTACTTATTAAGACTTAACATGGAGTCTTAATTAATTAATTAACAATTAATTAAATTGCTAAGTTTATATTCCTTATGTTACCATATTAAGTAAAATGTGATTAGTTTGAGTTCCATTTTAAAAATCTCAATTAAAATTTTCCATCTTCCATCTTCCATTCAGCTTTGCTGAATGTTTTTATTAATAAGAACCCTTTCCCCACTTTGAATCAAAGAGCTAATGACAACCAACATACTTGTCTCCATGTTTAGCCAAAAACAGCTGCATGGTTTGAAGTGCTTCAGATAATTGTTCCTTCTTGGTTGATAGTTCCTCACTGGATAGCTGTAAGGTAAAGAAGTCACATTCAAACTCTCCTCTCAAAAGAACTAAACAACACTAGTTTTTAAAGAAACTAATCAAATTTTAATGAAGACCCAAACGCTGGGCCTACTTTCTGGGTGACCCAAGTCAATAATCTTTCAGTTATTAGTAATCTAGAAGCCTGGATTAAAAAAAAAAAAAAAAAAGAGTACTTTATTTAGAACACATGATGAAGGAAAGCTCCCCTATCCTTAATGCCATCATTTTCATTAGGAAATAAACATACAACTTTATAGAGTTCTTAAATTTATCCCAACCCAACCATTAATAAAGGTGGCCTTAACACCCAGGTGGCCCGAGGTTCAGCACCGGCCCCACGGGTCATCCGTATATTAATACATCATAGAACTCAAAAAGATACATGAATGTGGAACATGGCTTCCAAAGAGTATCTTCCTCCTCCTAGGTTCCTGGATACAACTCCTTTAGAAAAAATTATGGTGATCTGTAGATTTGCAGATCAAGAATAAATCATTTCTAATGCTAAGACCTTCCTTTGTTAAAGCTGCCTGTGAAGGTTAGAGAAATAAAATTCCTCTGTTTGGGGGAAAGCAAGAGGTCATAACACTCTCTCCTAATCTCTGTGTTTCACTTCTGAATCCCTCATTTCAGAAATTAATTGCCATTCTTTTAAATGATCAGAAATGAGAGGAAATAATGATGCAATGAAGAGATATATTTTTCCCGTGTATTCTATTTAGAGTCAACTTAAAAATCTATTTTTCACAGTTACAGGTAATTGTGAGGCCATTATTGACTTTTGAAGGGCACGCTCACATCAAATTACCTTAAATTTTCTTTAGCAAGAGATAAACAAGTGTTCTTAGAAAGTTGTAATTAAGGTCATTATCTGCATTAAAAAAGTATCTCTCTACTTTGATGTGGACCAGGTCTAAATCTGATCTAGTAATATTTTGGAGAATTTAGAACTACAGAATGTGAAAATATGAAGGGTTTATAATCCACATTTCACAAAAGAAACTTGTTCTCCCAAGGAATTTTCATAAAGGTTTATGTCTTTATTTTAGTCATCTTCCTATTTGATGAGAAAACAAAAGGGAAGAATATGTTTTATATGAAATATTTGCCTTAAATTATTTTGAGGTGTTTTTTTTTTATTTAAAATGCCACATATAAGTGCTTTAAAACTTTTCTTTCACACTATATGATATATGGTTTATGTAAGACTATGAGCTAACACAACTTTATTTCAATGGAAAAATATTTCAAGTACATACTCATGTTTGTAAATTTCTCCCAGAAAGATTCCCAGATAAGGTAGATTTGCCTGATATCACAGACAAAAGTAGACAAGACATTGACATTTTCCCATATTTAATCATGTCACCAATGTCTGCTTTAACTGATGACAAGTACTGATGCAGAGCTATAAGAGGGAGCTAAATATTGAAATTAGATGAAAGCCCATGGAATTTCCAAATGTGAGGCAACAACAGGAAGGCAATATAGGAAAAATATTCCTTGAGAAAAATGCTTATCTTAGTGTAAATTTGTTTTTTAAAAATACAGCAGCAATTCCAGTGCTATCACCAGCAGCAGAAGTACTAGAATTTAAACCTTAACCACCAATGTCCTCAGAGCTTCAAGTGGTGCAGTCAATGGAGCAATAACATCTCACAAGCTGCAGCCTAATACTAAGTAGTTGAGGAACAGAAGGTAGCTCATAAGACTAAAGAATTCACTTGGGTAAAGGAAAGAAACTAGAATTTCTGGTGATTGACTGTAGATCCTTCCTTATGAAACAGAAAAGATTCAGAAAAGCACAACTAATGTTAATGTTCAAGAATGTTAATATCCCAGTTTGTATTTTCACTATTCTTGAAAATTTTTATGTTTGTATCTTTATGATATGGAGTGCATGGATACTCAAACAGGAAGACTCTGCTCTTCAGCAATTCTCATAATAATCAGGAAGCAGATATAACTATTAGGAAAAGCAGTATACTATATTAGGTATACCAATAGAAGGGCCAATACAGAAAGTTTAGGCTTGGGAATCAGAGATACCTTCTTCTGCCACATATTAACTCTGATTCTTTGGGCAAGTTGCTTAGCCTCTCTGATCTTATTGGCAATTATAATTGCCAACAAAAATGGAGAAAATTAAGGTAAAGAATTAAACATTGTGCTAGGTGGACTATATCATCTCAGTGAAGTCTACCCATTGTTATTAAACCAGGACCTCTGTGGATACCTTTTGCTTAGAGAAGGGAGATTTTCCAGCCTTCTCTCCATCTTTCAATGTCTTGCTGATATTTGAAACCCATTTCTGCAGTTCTTTGGCTTTATCAACATGTTCTTTCTTTTCTTCTTCCAGTGAATTCTGACAAGTGCGAGTGGTTAAAAAAAACATACATTCCAGTAAATGACTGAGCTATTAAACTGACCTCTCCACAGAAAACAAAAATGTAAAAATGTTTTTTCACCACACACAGGTTACTGAAATATTTTATTCATTCACTTAACCATGTTATATAGCATATGTATCTCCAGAATGTTTATAGTAGCAAAAAAAAAAAGCTGTGACAAACATTGTTTAGTGATCGGTCCAACCTCCCAGCTGTTCCATCAATCTGACAAATTTAAAAATTCAACTTTATTCATGAGGCACTAGAAGATCTCTGAATTGCTGCCTTTGCATTAGCATTACAATCATGATCGTCTTAACAGAAAGGTATCTGAAAATAGGAAGATGAAAGAATAGAGAATGTCTACAAACATAAGAAAAATACACAGAATGAAGAAAAATCCTTCCCCTCGTCAAACACACAATGCATTCATAATGTTAGCTTTTAATTTCAAAGCATTAACTAGAAATGAGGGATTGTGGTAAACATTTTCATATATAAAGAAGGTCACTATCTACAGGAAAATTCAAAGCTTTTTTCATTTTTGGAAGCAATCCAAAACCCTGCAGGCTCATGGATGTGGGAATGAATTGTTACCTTTCTCTTGATTCCATGCTGCTTTGTGAAGTGCCCTTTCAGTGACTGCAGTGCATTCTTTACTAAACGGGAACACTAACACCAGGCTGGATCTATCTCATGAAGGGGAATTTTAAAGAAACCATGCTGTGGACTTGTTGTAGTTCATCAAGCTTACACCATAGTCTAGGTAAAACATGTTTATTTCAGTGCGGGCAAGATTCAAAAAACTATTCTCAAAGCTAAATGGAACCATTTTAAGGGCAGTAGATCTTTTGCTATTTTAAAAGTAAAAATCATTCTCTCTTCTGAGCACTAAGTAATTTCCAGACCTCCAGAAATAAACAGAGTATGTTACACACAATTCCTAGACTGCGTATGTAGCCGATGCCATCATACTCTGGACAGATAGCTCGAATCAGGCGGCATGACCCCTTGCACAAAGCTTTTAAACCTGTCCTATTAAGAAGAATAGTAGAGGCTAGAAATGCCTGTTATCAAGGGTTCTGACACTTCTAACAGTTTAAGCCCTGTGTGGAAATCAAAATCAGCTTTTTCTAAGGCTTCTTTATATGTCAACTTTCTTTTTGTCTGGGGACATAGTATATTTCTGGCATAGGACTTTTGATCTTTGAGTTTTGTAGCAATGAGGACGTCTATAATACCGACTTGGAGAGCCTCTTCTATTGACAACCGAGAGTGAACCTGCGGCTCTATCAAGCCCCCTGTCAAGTACTGAAATTCCAGACATCGGAGTCCCATTTCCTTACTTATGATATTTGCATTCACGGCTTCCATCACTGACATCACTTTCTTAGTGACGGGATGGCTGATCCCTGTGATGACTAATTCGCACTGTCGCAGTTGCTGGGCAAACCCCTCATCAACGAGGCCTCTGTGTAAAGCTTCAGCCACCCGGTACTTTTTGCCAGTAAGAGGATCAATGATCCCCCCTGTGCTGACTTGGGCTTCCAGGCATCTGAGGGCAGTGATCCGATCAATCAGATTTCTACGGGAGGCCTTTAGAACAGAGATCCTTTCCCCACTAGCGGTCAGCCAGTACCCTACAATCGGACTATGCAAATCCTTCTTGGGAACTAACCGACAGAGCAAAGAATCAGCAAGTTCTGTAAGTGTGATGAGGCCTTCCTGGTACTTTTTGACCATGGCTTTGTCAACTGTTCCCTGCTCGATAGCCTCATTAATATTGAACTGTAATCCTGTTTTGGTATCCGTCAGCATATGAGAAGGATGCCCGTAGGACTCAAAAAACGTGGCTTCCTTCCACTGATATTGCTGCCCTGAGAGTTCAAGATATATACTTTTTTCAATTAGGTTTCTCTGGAAAGCCTCATAGGCAGTCAGTTCTGCTCCCGTTTTAACATCTACTACAGAAATTTTATGAGTTTTCTCTACATTGAGATTGGAAATGTTCCTCTCCCCAAATGGAAATAGTAGGCACTGGCAGTCTATATCGAACACACACATTCGCAGTAATTCTGAGTAATACAGAGCTTGCCTGTTATTGGGATTAGGAAAAACTCTTGTGTTGCTGGAGGGCTCGTGTAAAAACTGTAAGATGGCATTATTTAATAACCCCTGCTGCAGAGCAATTTCTGGAGGAACACGAATGCCTCTCACAGGGTCAATGACGCCCCCACTGGCAATCTGGGCCTCCAAGATATGTTTACCTTTCTGTCTGTCAAGCATTCTATTTTCCATAGCTTGAAACACTGACAGTGTCTTAGAAGAATGTGCATAGCCCACGGCTGCCTTCTCTGCCTCAAGGAGCCTAACCCTAAATTCAGAGTCAACAACTCCTTTCAGAACTGCATCTTCAACCGAGTATGTCTGACCTGAAACGGGATCGATTATAAAACCCGTTGCAGCCTGAGCCTCTAAAAATGCCAACGCCATCATTTTGTCTATGATGATTCTCTTGGCTGCTGAGGAAAATGAAACCTTTTCTTTCGTAGATTCCAGGTAAAGCCCTGCAATTGAGGTGGCTTTTGTCAAAAACTTGCTAAGCGTTTTCTGAACTTCCTCAACAGTCTTAAGACCAAGTCGCAGCTGCTCAATCGTTCTAATGTCCAGAAGCTTAGCCTCGACCAACTGCCTGGCGGTCACAGTGTGCCTGAGCCCCTGGAATTGAAACTCGTCATCCCTGACTGAACACGCATGATCGCCATCAAAGTTCTGGAAGGTGTCTGGTTCTAAGCCTTTCTTAAGGAATTCCCTCTTGAGTCCACCAGATGCTCTGTACCCTTCAAGCATCCATTCTTCGGCACTCGGAACTGGATTCTTTTCTTGTTTTAAGATTGTGACTTCTGTGTGCATATCACACTGCTTGTTCTTAGCTATCTGTAACAGGAATTTATGAGATGTTAAAAGTCACCTAAAGAACATTATTTCACTTTACCCATTCTAATCCAAACATACTTCCTTGAATTACAAAAACGAGATAAGTGAAGAGAAGAAAAACTTTCAAACCAAGGTGGGACCATGAATAACATTATTTTGAGAGTCTGAAGCTTACTTTAGATAACAATTAAAGGTATTAAAGTGCTATGTTTAAAAAAGATGGAGATGAAATTTAGCCACAGAATATGTTAGAAGTTAAAGTTAACTGCTTGGTTCTCTAGTATTTTTATGGTCATATTTTTCTAAACATATTTCCTCAGATGTAACAGTATACCCACTACATCCTGTGTGTTTAACCTCAAACATTCGAAAATTAAAGAATGATAATTTATAATAAAGATTCCAGTAAATCACTAGAAAAACTACAGCATTATTTTCCTGTCAGAACCACAAAGAGCCAATCACATTAAAAGTTGTTAAAAATTTAGTCTAGGAGAGAAAGGAAACAACAGAGGAAACTCAACATTAGGTAGCTGACAAGGTCTCAAAACACAGAGTATACCTCTAAGGGCGTCAAAAGCTTCACCAGTTCCATTTCACATTTGCTGTCTTGATACTTAACAGGTGGTCTGGAATTGTGCAGGGCTTGATCTCTTATCTTCTCAAATTCTGATAGTCTTGTCAGAGGGTTTGTCTCATCAAAAGTTATCTGTAATTCAGTGCTTGTCTGAGAAAAATACTCTGAGTAACACTGCTGGCTTTTCTCTTTCTCCAGTCCTGGAGCCCCTGCCGGCCAGAATTGAACCTCTTTCGGTATTTGCTCAACAACCCGATGCTGCCACTTTTCTTCTAACTGCTTTGGTTCTTGAGTCCATCTCAACAGAGGAGATGTGGCTGCTGGGTGAAGTTGTCCAGTGCTCCTAGAGGAGAACTCTCCAGATGGTTGACACTCCTTCACTGTCGTCTCAAAATCTGGTTTGAAGGTACAGTCTTTGGCCGTGTTCTTTTTTTGGATTTCACACTGGAGCAAAACTAACTGATGCTCATGCTCCTTTATCTGTTGATCCATTTTTTGCTTCAGGTTTTCAACTTCACGTTTCTGGGCTATCAGCTCATCCTCAAGCTTCCGACATTTCTGGTAATGGTTTGCTTCTACGTGCCGCCCTTGTTGCACTTGCTCACGGTATTGCTGAAGCTGCTTTTCAAGTTCTTTAATATTGGTTTCACAAAGCTTCGCATTCTCTTGAGCTCTGTAGTTTTCTTGCTGAAGAGACACAAAATCAAGCTTAATGCCTGAAATGTCATTCTCAGTGATGACTTTGGACTCCATTAACTTTTCCATCTTTTTCCGAAACTCCTCTGCTGAACGTTTGAATTTATCAGATTCTTCCTGAAACAGAACCATCTTTCTGTGAGTCATCTGCTCCTCTATGGTCTTTAAGTGCAACTCATCTTGCACCTTTTTCAACCTATTATTTAACTCTTGCACCTGAGCTTGTTGTAGCTGGACTTTCTGCTCCCCCCGTCGCTTTTCTTCTTTGGAAGCATTCAGCTCTGCATTCAGATTTCTCACTTCTTTCTCGGTATTCTGGATGATAATGTTCTGCTGGTCACACTTTTGCTTAAATTCACTTACTAAACTTTGACTTTTGGCCAGATCTTCTTCGAGGCATTTAATTCGTCTATGGAAATCCTGTTCTGTTTTTGTCTGTTTATGCAAGTGTTCATTTGTGTTGCGTAGCTGATCTTTAAAACCATCTGCCTGAATTTTCAGGGTTTCACATCTTTGCTGGATAGCTTGTTTCTCCAAAACCACTTTCTCCGATTCTGCCTGAATTCTCTGCATCATTAATTTGGTTTCATTATTCTGCCTAGTAAGCTCATCTACTTTTTGTTTCATCAGTTCTGCACACTGATTACTTTTCTCTAATTCTTCATTCAGCTTTTGGATTTTATCATTATTTTCTTTTTCAGCTTTAATATTTTGAAGCAACTGCTCGTGGCTTTTCTCAAATTGTTCTTTTAGATGATCTGATTTTCTCTGGCATATTCGTACTCTTTCAAAGTCCTTCTTATCCTGCAAAGAATGAACTTGTGAATTTAAATGATGAATATCCCTCTCAGCTACAGCATGCGCCCTGGTGATTCTGTCTACTTCTCTTTGCAGTTTCCCTTTTTCATGATGAAGAGATTCTAATTCTAACTGATAGTTGTGCTTTATTTTCTTGAGATCATTTGCTTCTTGCATGGCTTCTTCAGCTTTACCTGTGGTTTGGTTCAACTGCCTATCAAGTTCTCGGAGTTGTTGAGAATACCCTTCCTCTACTTGATTCTTCCTTTCCAACTCCAACTTAAGGCACTTTAGTGTATTATTTGTTTCATCCAGTTTATCTTTTAGCAAACGAGCCTTTTCCTCAGATGACGTTTTTTCAAGCTGGAGGGCATCAAGTTCATACTTCAGCTCCCTCATGTCTTTTTCAGCCTTCCTGTTGGCCACTGTTAGTTCATCTACCTGCTGTTTGAGTTTTTCTGCTTTCTGTTTGTCATATTCTTTGTGAAGACCAGTTACTGCCCCGCATGACGTAGCCTGTGTGATCGCATACGTTGGCAATGCATTTTCTCTACATGAATACTGAATTTCAGTTATTTTTCTTCTTGCTTCCAATTCGATCTTCTGCTTTTCTTTCAATTCTTTCTCTGCTACCTGTTTTTGAAATGCAAGGTCTTTTTCCATCTGCTTTATCAGCTTCAAGAGTTCTTCCTCATTGTCTCTCTTTCTTCTTAATTCTTCCATTAACTTATTCTTTTGTTGCTCCAGATCATTGAGACTTAAATCTTTCCTTTTAAGATGATCTTCCAGTGTTCTTCTGGTAAAGGTGTTTTCCTCTAACTGATTCCGAAAATTCAGCAGGTTGTTTTCCACAGCCGCTCTTTTAGCCTCGGCCTCTATCGTGAGCTGTCTCACCCTCTCCAGCTCCCGTTCGGCAGCTTCCTTCTCTCTCACGATGGTCTCAAGTTCCCTGCGGTACTGCTTGGCTTCACTTTCAGCCCTTATCTTCTGCAGAGCAATGTCTTCTACATTTCTCTGCTGCTTTCTCAGTTCATTTTCTGCAGCCTCCTTGACCTTAGGAAGTTCTTCCTCGACTCGAGACTTTTGCTTCTTTAGCTCGGCTACCATTTTTTCTAGTTCACTTATCTTCCCGGTAAGTTTGCTATTCTCAATCACTGTTGCCTTCTGACGCTGAAGCAGATCTGAATATGCCCCATGTTCAGAAGTCTCCTTACACCTTTTCATCTACAAGAGATGTTTTGAGAGTGTCAAACCTGTTCTATTCAAATTTATCTTAACAAAATTGGAAGCAATGTTCATAAATGTACTTACAAAACCAAGTGAACCCAAACGCAGAACAAGCACTATCACCACCACCAGCACCACCTTCTTCAGAAGAAGCTTCAGAAAGTTAGCAGTAGAAGACAAAAAACCCTTCATGACAGGTTTTCTGAAGAATTTTGTTTTGTCTCTCAGAAATAATTTTAGCTAGCTCAGGATTTTTTTAGCAAGAAAGGGGACTTACAAAACATATAGATGACTCCAACCTTTTATAGATGAGGAAATTGAGATACTGGGAGGTTATATAATTTTGCAAACTCACAATGGGTGAGTGACAAAGCAGGAACTAAAACTCTCACAACAGTGCTCTTTCTGCTCTTGCACGCAACTTAGTCCTACAAGCTAAGAACAGACAACATACAGGAACTGAAGGACACTAAAGAATTTAGTTTTCCTTATCCAGCCTGATGGAAATTAAAAAATGGTATTTACATTCCCATATTTTATGGTTAAAGAAACAAAACAAAGAACTTTAGAACAGAGAGCCAAATTAAGAAATAATACTTAACATGGGGAAAAAGGAAAATATATAAAAACTTGAAATTTCTAAAGTCAAATTCCTTATTTATATTTGTCACATTATGACAATTATAATAATCAGAATTGCTAATGCAAAGGCAGCTACGGTCCCTGATGGCTTTAGAAAAGATATGCTTCATATACTCACAGATTTTGTTGCTGTTGATAATGACATGCCTCATATGAGTCCACCTTGATAAGTACCTAATTTAGATACTCTATAAATATAAAGATATTTGTTAAATATAATAGCTTCTTTCAAATGTACTTAGGGATTCAGCTTCAATTTGTAGAATAAAATATCAAAAAAACCCTTTTTACTCTACTGATGATAGAATCAATCTCAGCTGGGAGGAGTACACTTTACAAAACTACAAGATCAGGGTTAGTTTATAATCACAATTTAATTTTTCTTTATTAATACCATAATGTTGTTAGTTTTGTATCATTAACTCAAAATAATTAGAAACAATTTAAAAAGTAGTAGAGAAATTATTTTAGATAATAGATTTGTTTTCATTTTAAAGCACACAAATCTTACTTGGTTTCCTCTGATTTCCTGGTCCTCAATAATTTTGATGAGAATTTCCTCTGCTAACCTAAATCTGGTTTCTAATAATAATTCATATAGAAACAAAATCTCATCACAATTTGCTATGCTCAGTGCTCTATCTTTTTTAGTTTGGTGTCAGAGTCAACTCTTTGTGATACTGAGGCATTTTATCTATGGAAATATTGAGTTTTCAATATTTTTAGCAGATTATTTCTAAGAGGTTCATTTCAGTTTATCAAACCTCCTTTAAAACTTAGCTATTGCTAAGAGCCTTTAAGCCTTTTTTTTTTCTTTCCTGATCATGTTCTCAGGTTTAAAAAAATAAAAATTCTCTCAGAAAAAATATCTGTTGTTGAACCTTCAGTATCTTAATTATAGTCAAAGTGATTTGTTAATCATCTCATGTTGTATGGATAACTCTTAATTTTTTTAGCAAATGCAAAAAAAAATTACTAGGAATAATAGCCCAACTACTGGTTTGCTTCCTTGTAGATCTCAAACTTATTTGCATAAAAATAATTTTCTCAAGCTTTTCCTAAATGTTCCTCAATGTTGCCCTTTAATCTCAATGATTAGTATCTAATAATATTTAGTCTATTTTGCTCTGAACATAGACTACAGAATCTTTATCACATCTGTTATCTATTATAGATATTCCACTAACATTTCTGTAGTTGATTTGGTATTACTTCTGAAATTAATTTGCATCTTTGATTTTATATTATGGAAGATCCTGTCTCAGACCAAGGTTTCTCATGTGAGTCTTCAAGACTTAATTTAAGAAATACTACACTTTTAATTCTAAAAACTGAGCTATATATATCTTTTACAATATATTCCATGAATATGATCCTTAATGGTGGTTTTCTTTTCTATCTTATAGTCTTTGCATGTTCATCCATAACTATATTGTTTTGCTTTTCAATTAACTATAAATCTTTGATATTTCAAAGGATGACAGGCCTTCTGAAATATCTTTTGTTTCTATCAATTGCTAGTATTTTGCCACATCAGATAAATTGGGCAAAGCGGTCTATACACATATAATCAGATATAAGAAAAGAAAATGACTTAAATTATTTTATTTTACATTTAATTGCTGTATATACAATTTACAAGATCTGAATACCGTTTAAAATGGTATAAGATCTCTCAAAAACTAAAAATTTAAAAAAAAATTGTGGACGTTCTTTCATAGACATTCTGGTTCTCTTTTTTAAGCACAGAGGAAGCTGGTTACAAAGTCTTGCAATTAGCTGTGTTAGTGCCTTTATTGCAGAAAATTTAATTCTGAACAGACTAAAATAGTTCACAAAGTAATCACATTTTAGAAACCAAAAATGTAATACCTAATATGTTAACTAATATTTTGGCTCTCTTATTATATGAATGGAGTTATACCAAGTATAACCACCTTCAGAATTTCAACAACAGTCTAATTTAAAATGGCTAATGCCACCCAATTTATTTATTTCAGCATTCAGTGTACTACTTTTGTCTGTTCTGAGGAATAGAAAGCACACCAAGATAATATAGCATAGCATAATCCCCTTTAAGATTGGATACAATAGTCTTTTATGACAACTGATTTTTATAAGCACCTCCTTACTCTTCCCATTTCTGAATATAATTTTTAAATGCAGCATCAAAGCTGCAAAAGTCCTCCAAATCAGAATGCTGCTTAAATACTTTTATTACTACTCACCATATCTTTTTGGCAAAAACAAAACTAAAAACTGCATAATTCTTAAAAAGTAATATAGTTTTGTATAAACACCTACTACTTCTAGGTTAATGTCTTTTTAATATATTTATTACTTATAATAATTTTAATTTCTTGAAGTGGTAAATCAATTTACAACACATAAAACAAATGTGTCCATACAGTATCTCTGCAAACATCACAACAGCAGTAACTATACTGAAATATACTTCTGAGAAATATACTTCTGAGCTGTGAGAAAGATGAAAAAAGTTCCACTAAACTGCCAACATTTTGTAATTTAAATAGAAGCATTTAAGGCATTAACCCTATAGAGAGTCCTGAAGTGAACATTTTAAAATGCCTTTTTATTTGAGAGAATCTAAAACACAAATATCCTAGGACTTTACTCATTTTCACTGTAATTTTATAATTAAATAATTGTGTATCCGCTATAATTAAATAATTACTTGTGTCTCTGTTATCAGCCACATAAATTTATCAACGAAACCTTTTTTGCTTTCACAAACCATTTCGTAGTTCCTGCTCATATCTAGCTCCTTTGCATATATCTGTTCATTGTTAACGATTACCTCCTCCTCTTCCAGCCTCTTCAATGAATCACCAGCAAATTTAATATATTGTGTCATGAGAGTGACCAGAGCAGTATACCGAGTCCTTAGATCCATGAACTGCAAGTAAGGAAAAAATAATAAAAACATAATCTCCAGCTGCCCTTATTAAATCACATGAACTTTGAGTAATAATTATAATACTTACTGGGCTTTAGAATAGTGAAGCCCACAATAACTCCCCAATAATAAATGATAGGAATGAGCTTATTACTGTTATGCAAACCATACTAAATGACAATTCTCTTCTAAATGTAGCCATGAAGTACATCTATTTATCTCTACAGTTAATCTTAAATAAAGATTTTTAAAGGTTTGTTAAAAACCCTTAATAAAAATGCATTGTTTGGGGTATAGACTTTTCTGTCTGGGATGATGGAAAAGTTCTGGTAACGAACAGTGGTGATGGTTGCACAATACTGTGATCTACTGAAATGCCATTAAATTACACCTTTAAAATGGTTAAAATGGTAAGTTTTATATTATGTGTGTTTTACTACAATGAAAATAAATAAAATTCTTTTAAAAAGTGTTGTTTTTTCTATTATACTTCTTCCTCTCTCTCTCTCTCTCTCTCATACTCTTATTACCTCTTGAATAATGAGATCTGCTGAGCTCTGCATTCTTCGGCGTTTCACTGGAGATTTTTGTTGTGAATCTACCATGGCCCGGTAGGTCATTGTTTGTAATTCATAGTCCTATAGAAGGGAGTTAATAAGATAAAATTAATTAAAGCAAAGCACTAAAGCTTCATGCTATCGTGATTTGATGCAGATAATTAGAACCTAGTTTCACTGAATTAACTTTAAATAAAGCAAATACAGTCATGTGCTGCATAATAATGTTTTAGTCAAGGACAGACTTTATATATGACAGTGGTCCCATAAGATTATAATGGAGCTAAAAAATTCCTAGCCCCTAGTGATATCATAGTTTAACATATTGCTCACAGGTTTGTGGTGACGCTGGTATAAATAAACCTACTATGCCGCCAGTCATATAAAAGTATAGCACATATGTACAGTATATAAAACTTGATAATGATAATAAATAACTATGTTACTGGTTTATGTATTGACTATATTATACTTGCTCTCATTATTTTAGAGTGTATTCCTTCCAATTATTACAAAAAAAAAAAGAATTAACCTCAGGCAGGTCCTTCAGAAGTATCATTGTCCTGAAGACCTTCCAATGGGACAAGATGCAGAGGTGGAAGTCAGTGATGATGATCCTGACCCTGTGTAGGCCTAGGCTAATGTGTGTATTTGTGTCTTAATTTCTTACAAAGAAGTTTAAAAAGTAAAAAAAATTTTAATAGAAATTTTTTAAAAAGCCTACAGAATAAAAATATAAACAAAGAACATATTTTTGTATAGTTGTCCAATGTGTTTTAAACTACTTATTACAAAAGAGTGATAAAGCTTAAAAAATTAAAGTACTTATATATAAATCAAAAAGTATAACACTAAGCTAAGGCTAATTTATGATTGTAGAAAGGAAATTTCTTTCTTCTCAATTAGTATAGCCTAAGTATACAGTGTTTATAAAGTCAACTGTAGTGTCCTAGGCCTTCACATTCACTCACCATTCACTTACTGACTCACCTAGAGCAACTTCCAGGCCTGCAAGCTCCATTCATGGTAACTGCCCTAGAAAGGTGTACTATTTTTATCTTTTATTCCCTACTTTTACTGTACCTTTTCTATGCTTAGATATGTTTACAAACATAAATACTTACCATTGTGTTGTAATTGCCTACAGTATTCAGTACAGAAACATGCTATACAGCATTGTAGCCTATGAGCGTCGGGCTCTACTAGACAGCCTAGGTGTGTAACAGACTATATCATCCGGGTTGAAGTATACTCTATGATGTTTGCAGAAGGACAAAATCACCCGATGATGAATTTCTCAGAACAAATCCCTATTGTTAAGTGACACATTACTGAACTGTGAAACTACATTTTTAGACAGACATGGAGCTGCATGCCTGTAGTCCCAGCTACTCAGGAGGCTGAGACAGGAGAATCCACTGAGCCCAGGAGTTCCAGGCATCAGTGAGCTATGACTGCACCACCGTACTCCAGCCTGGGAGACAAAGTGGGACTCTGTCTCCAAAAGAACAAAAACAAAAAACAAAACAAACAAACACTACACTACATTCTTAGAAATCTATCCAATCCTGGAGCTGTTTCCAAGGTGGGAATAAAATCAGAAACATGTAGGGTGGTTAGGTAATTTCCCAAGTCTGTTTGGAAGCTCATGAAAATAGTTACATGCAACCTCCCTTTCCTCCAGCTGGGCAATGGAACCGTGGATCTGGAAGGCTAAAGCTGAGAAGTTGTCAATGGTAACTTGAAAAGCATGAGAAATGTCCCCTAAATGAGAAAGTTAGAAGTTCTCCCATAGAATACTCTAGCAATGGTAAAGAAAAGAGGGAGAGAGAGCAAAAAGTGATAAGAAACTAATTTGAGAGCTCTGTATTCATTAAGGTGTGTGTGGGGAGGTGTGCACACAAGCTCATGCACATGAGTGACACAGAGAATATGAATGAATCAGGGCTGTTATTTGACTCAAATTATTGAGTCAAATTCTCACGAAGAATTATTACATAAGTGTCAAAAAGGTTCAAGTGAGTATTTCCCCTTTTTACTTTTTAATACTGTGCGAAATGACCTGTATGGCTTTAAAAGTACATTGTAGAATCACATACATGAATATTGAATTTGTCTAGAGCAAATGAGCCTTCCTTCTCACCTTCACTGTAGCTGAGTACTGTTCTGCATATTTTTGACACTCATCCATTTTGCTCTGTTTCATTTCTATTTCGGACACCAGCATCTATAAATAGATACAGTTTAGTTTAGAAGAAAAAGGACAAAGAACTGTAGGCTACTCAACTATTTAAGATGCTCAGGAACTAAGAAATATGTACATCATTTAATAATATATATCCTTAGCTCTTTGCATTTAATATGCAACTTGCCTGATTTCAGGTGAAGTCAAATTTCAGGTGAAGTCACATACATGACCCACCCTTATGGGGCTTCCAAAGCAGAAATTACTAAACCCCACAAGAATTATCCAAAAATAGACTTGATGCCCTTGGCCACCACCTATTCCTGATGAAAACAGAGCTAGAAATTACCAGCCCCTAAAGATAGAACAATATTCTCAAAACATTCAATTTTCTGTCAAATATGACTGCTTAATTTTCTAACCAATTTTAACTAATTTTCTAACCAATTTTATTTATTTAGGAACCCACAAGACTATCATGGCCAGCAAAGTATCAAAGAGATTTCCATACCTATAATTGAAAGATCATTAGGAATTTGAAAACTATCCCAACATGCTACTTTCTTATTACGTATACTTTCAAAAACGACTTCCAAGAAATCCAGATAAGTGATGTATGCAGGTTTGGGTTGCAGGATTTTAATATTTATGATATATTCCCCACCTTTCTCTAAAGAGTTGCTGATTTTTTCTTCTAATATAGGAAAATAAGGATCACGACTGACAAAATGCAGACAGAACCTTAGTACAAGGAACTGTTTTTACATACCTTCTGTTGATTCAACTGTGTGGCTAGGGTTTTACTATTTTCAGGCTGGTTTTCCTGAATTTTTCTCTGAGTAGTTTCAACCTGCTGGATCCAATCATCTAAAAGGTGATAGGTGTCTCTGTAGTACTTCAGCGATTTGCCAATGCCCTCTAAGTCTCGTAACCTAAGGGAATAGTAACAAAATAGTCACAGTTTCCAACAGTATCCATTAAGGGCAGAGGGTAGAAAAAGGGAGAGACAAAATAACTATATCACAATGCACCAAGCACAATAGCAGGCCTGAGTGTAAAGAATTCAAGGCTGTAGCACCCTAAGGCATACCTCCTGGGGCACTCCATTTTGGCTTTGGATTGAATACAAGCATTTTGCTTCTGGAGTTGTGTGATTTAGTGGTACTGATTATTCTAGGAACAAGCCAAAACTAAAAATCAGGAAAACTGGAAACTTAACTATAATTATTATCAATCAGGATGTTTTGATTGACTAAGGCTTGCATCAAATGGCAGTTCATTTTTGAAATAATGAGAAGGTAGTTCAACAATGAATGGTTCAACACAGTCTCTGAGGGTACTTACCAGGAGCTGTGATTACCTACTTGTTTCTATGGTTTTTAAAACCGCCACACAAACCTTTTTATCACTTATTTTATGGAGATTAGTTAATATGTATCTGAATATAATTTTACTTCTCAAGAATGGTACTATACCATAAAGTAATTTTATTTGCATTAATACAAACATGAAAATGAATGAGAAGGGTCACTAATCCATTTCTTTTAAGATGAGCCTAAAACCATCCCATTTCCTTTCCCTTTTTAACTTGGTCACTGGGCAATTTCAACTTTCTTATACTCTCAGTTAAAATGAACATCATGTCATTTCAATTTCTTTACATTTCTTAGGTCTAGTATAGATTGCTACATACAACCCTATCAAATACATGATTAATTCTCTAAGTCATGGTTATTTGAATATTATAAGTTGGTAATAATTAAAAAACTATTTTGTTTTTTTCCTTTAGGAAAGACAAGTAGATTAACTATAGAAATGCCAGAATACATCAATAGTTTTAATAACACAAAGTTGAAAAAGGCTTATTTTGAGTTAAATGTCTTACTATTGTCTACTGTATAAGAAAGAAATATAATTAGGTAGAGCCATTACATTTAATATAGTTAATTGTGAAAGATAAAAAAACAAAAAGCCTAATAAATTTACATTTTACCTAGCATACAGATGGACATAAAATCTGTACTAAAATGGAACAAATGCTGGCGTGGATGCGGAGAGAGAGGAACACTCTACACTGCTGGTGGGACTGCAAACTAGTTCAACCTCTGTGGAAAGCAATATGGAGATACCTTAAAGCGATATAAGTGAATCTACCATTTGATCCAGCAATTCCATTGCTGGGCATCTACCCAAAAGATCCAATGACACTCTACAAAAAAGACACCTGCACTCGAATGTTTATAGCAGCACAATTCATAATTGCAAGGCTGTGGAAACAGCCCAAGTGCCCATCAATCCAAGAATGGATTAATAAAATGTGGTATATGTATACCATGGAGTACTATTCAGCTCTAAGAAACAATGGTGATATAGCACATCTTATATTTTCCTGGTTAGAGCTGGAACTCATACTACTAAGTGAAGTATCCCAAGAATGGAAAAACAAGCACCAGATATATTCACCAGCGAACTGGTATTAACTGAGCAGCACCTAAGTGGACACATAGGTACTACAGTAATAGGGTACTGGGCAGGGGGGAGGGGGAGGGGGGGTGGGTATATACATACATAATGAGAGAGATGTGCACCATCTGGGGGATTGTCATGCTGGAAACTCAGACTTGGGGGGGGGGGGCATTTATTGAAACCTTAAAATCTGTACCCCCATGATATGCTGAAATAAAAAAAAAAACAAGAATACTAACCTGTTGTCAATCTGCACGTGAACATTTTGCCATCTTTCAACTAATTGATCTGCTTTTTCTTTGTGCCAGTCAAAATCAAGGTCCCGTTCTTTATATGTTTTAAACATTTCATCACTGATGGTTTTAGCCTTCTGCAACTCATCCTCTAATGCATGGAATACCTCTCTCTTTTCATCTACTTCAGATCTCCATTGCTAAAATACATTAATTGGTAGAAGTTATAAAAATGTCAAGTATTTGCTGGGTAAATACAGTATTTACCTATTTTTATAATTTATTTATAAATGACTGATATAAAATCAGATAAAAGAAAGAATAACTTTCATTTACAAGATATTATATTAGGTTGAACCTTATGAAACTGCCAATATTTGACTATATGTGATTTTTCCCAAATGACAATATTATGAAGTTCAGCTTAATAGAATTTATACATTAATAAAATAAAATATATTCCATAAGCAAGTTTGTTACATCAATAAGTAAAATAAATGCCTTTTTTTTTGAGACAGAGTCTCACTCTCTTGCCTGGGCTAGAGTGCTGTGGCGTCAGCCTAGCTCACAGCAACCTCAACTCCGGCTTAAGTGATCCTCCTGCCTCAACCTCCCAAGTAGCTGGAACTAGCATGGGCCACCATGCCCAGCTAGTTTTCATTTTTAGTTGTTTCACTAATTACTTTCTATTTATAGTAGAGACAGGTCTCCTCTTGCTCAGGCTGGTCTTAACTCCTGAGCTCAAGCATCTTACACCTCGCCTCTCAGAATGCTTAGAGATTATAGGCATGAGCCACTGGGCCCAGCCAGTAAGTCTTTTTTATTGTCTATTTTTCAATGTGTACTAATTCTATTGTTAAAAAATGAATATATGCATGAAAAATCACTGAGATAACTTTTCACAATTGCTTTGCAATAGTTTTACTAAGTGTTTTATATAGAGAAATATAGATACAGAGGAATACAACTACTAGTCTTTTCCTTCTTAGATTAAGTCTTCTATTTACCTCCTTGATATTTCAAAATAAGTACCTCTTTTAGAAAGTATATCTATTACAAATAATTTAATTTTTAGTTTCAACTCCTCTTCCTGCCAAGATGAACTAACTATCAAAAGCTACTGCCAAAAAAGTTCAAACTTCAAATGAGAAGAACTCTCCTCAAACTAAAGTGACTAGCCATACTTATTTACAGTAGCGGTAGAATTATAAAGATAGGAAATGGAAAACTTCCATTCAAAAATACCTTCAAACTAAGATATCTAAGGCTTGATGTTTGAAGATCTGAACTAGTGTGAGAGAAATACGTGTAGACTATGATCCTGAAAAGTAGCCAAAGGTGAGACTCATACCTTTAAAGTACTTATTAGATTCTCAATATTATTCTTGTCAGCTATAACTGCTTCTTCTTCACACAGTTTAGTTTCATAGAGTTTGACAAGGGCTTCTGCAGCTTGAGTGTTTTTTAACACCAAATTGACAGTTTTCAACCTGAAAGAGGGAGTTAAACAATAGCCACATATTATTAAATGTTTATTTTACATAATGCCATCCTAAAGCACTATTATGACATATGGCATAGCATGTTCTTCGTCTTGGAAGACGAAGTTACTATAAGATTGATACAGTTACTATAAGATTAACATTTATCTGGCTCTCTGCTTAATAGACAGACAGCATGTGCTCCATTCCTGCCCTACCCTACAAGTAGTATTTAGCAAGAGATTCCACACAAGACAGTTTCTTTCTGACCTTGTTTAGGCCAAGCATGAGAGGAAAACCCTGTAGGCTACAGCAGCTGAGCTACCAAAACTACTGGAAGTATAACACATTATGCATTAATCTCTGAGGCATATCCTCTTTTAACACAGAGAAATGTCATAAATCCATTAAAAAATATAATGTATTTCTTTAGACAAAATAAAAATTAAATATTTACCTTCATAAAAATGAATTTTTAAATTAACAGCATATGAAAACGACAGTTGTATGAAGCAAATTATATATTGAGATAGAGTTACATACTTATCTATGTAAGTGGAAGACATAGAGTAGACTTGGTTCATGTTCTGAACGACCACACTGAGCTCAGACCGTAAGGTAGGAACTGACGGGGAGGCTGCCGCTTGACTGAAAAATTCTTCACATTTATTTGTGATTGTTCCCAAATCATCTTTCAGTCGTTCCAGTTCTTTCTTTAGTTTCTATAAAACAGAGAATAAACTTAAGAATTAGGCAATTGCCTCAGATGAGGCATTTTTCTTAAAACAGTTTAAAAATACACATGTTATACTATGACCATTGACTTAAAAATCTATATATTTGTTACTTTTTCTTTATCAAAGAGACTAATCCATGGCATTAAAATATTATAATCAACAATTTCCTTACTGCCCAGCTCCTGAGCCCCAAGATTTAACTTAGTGCTTTTGCATATAGCAGGATATAATGACTTTCATTATGAGAAACATTTATAGCCTTTATCATAATAGGTAAGAGGGTTCATGTTCCCGTGTTTATCTGTGTCAGAGACTGAACAGATTTACAGAATCCTAGCTTACAATCAGCAATAAACACATACCCTAAGACCTCCCAACGTGACCAGTAGTTGATGCCTAAGGTCATTAAGATAGTAAATTATCTTATTTTTTTTCCCCAACACATTAGAATTCTCACCTCCTGCTCTGTGATTCTGAACACACTTTCATGCAAATCATCTCTTTCCAGGGGAGTTCGGATCTGTCTAATCAATCGGTCTTCACAGTTCTCTAACCGAAGTCTAATGTTTCGAACTTCGGAGATATAGAGATTATAAATTGATTCTTCTTGCTCCTCTGTGAAAATAAATATAATGTTTAGCAAATACCTTGCTTTCTATCTTTGGATGCTTTTTTTCATGTTTTAATAAGGCAATTTTACTGTTATGGGGACATAGCTAGTCAAATTTACGGTTCCTGTTTTTATCACAAATTTATCCAAAGAATACAAACCCTAAAATATAAATCTTAATATTTAAGAAGCATTAATAAAATCTTCCTAATACCATTTCAAGTACTAAGCAGAGATTCTTATCTGATTTGTTCCCTGCTGTATCTCCGGAACCTAAAACAGTGCCTATGCTAGAGATTAAAATGTCCACAGAAATTAATATATTGCTCTTTTATGTTCACAAAAATATGAATTATGTTAGTTGCAGATTAATTATAAAAATCAAATAAAAATCCTTAGAAGGGAAAAGTAGGTAAAGAATGTGTTAATATTTAAGATTTAAAAAAACAGAACATTTACTAATAAAATTTGTTTCTAATTAATATCAAAAGATTTCAAGATAAAATTTGTATTTAACAAAAGTAAACCAGACAAAATCTTTTGCTTTAATTACTATATGAAATCAAAGTTTGGTAAATGGCAAAATAATTGAATCTTTTCTGAAACTTAAGGATTATCACTCTGAACATTACATTGCAAAACAGTGAAAACATTGAAAAGCAGACGTAGTAAGAATTCACTGTTTGTTATACTATTTGGTTGGCACTCTTTTGGTAATTCATCATTTAGAAATAAATGAATCCCTCCTTCCATCTTCCTGTCTCAAACATGCTTTTAACGTTCTAGCAATTGTGTCCTTGTATCATACATAGGCTGAGTGACATAATTCACCTAAGATTTAAATTCCCACTAAGAGTAAAAAATAGCCTGAACTAAACACCTGTCAGAAAAAAAAGACAAGGATTCTCATGCTTTACCTCTTTCTGCAGATTTAAGAAGTTCTTGATAATACTGCTTACATACATTAACCTCCTTTTCCAGTTGTGTTATATCTGAGCCTGAAAATATTTGGGATTCCTGGCTGTCTTCTAGAAAATCTTCAAAGCGAGACTGTAGATTACTCAGAACTTGCTGATGTTCACCAGGTAACATTGTCTTTATCTAAAGAAGACCAAAGATCTAGGTAATTAAATGAGTATAGTGCTAAGAGTTAAATTTGAATGGGACAGATGTCAATATGGTCTCATAGTATATGCCAGTTTACATTAACAGTCATGAATAGTAGAACCATTTGAAATTTTTTTTTTCATTAAAAATTTCAGATTTTAAAAGACAAGGAAAAGCAAGTCTATAAAATTCAATAAATGAAATCAACTATACCTATCTCTGTATGTCCAAACACTGTCCTGTCTCCCTATCTCCCAATAAGCACTGGCAGAAATCTGTGATCTCCTGACTTCCCCAATTCTTAGAAAGTACCTAGTATACAGCAGACATATAACAAATATTCATTTAATGAATGAATATTAGCACGGATTTGCTGGGTTCCATCCGATTCTAGAGCAAATATAAACTCCTCCCCACACATGACATTTTTGGACACATTGAGTTGACATGTAGATTTATACTTACTGACGCCACATTGCTAGCTCGAATTTTGTCAATTTCATTGATGAGATAATTCCAGGATACTACACTCTTCATGTTTATGTGAGACTCATGCCAAAGACTCAGGACATTCTGATACTGTTGCTCAATTCTGAAATATATGAAAGAAAAGAGATTTACTCCCTCTGAAAACATGCTATGATTGTTCTTTTTCTGCGTGAAATATACCACGTTTATTAGTTCTAGAGCCTTCTGATTCTGCCAGGCCTTGACAAAGTAGTCATTTGTTTCTTCAACCTTCAGATAGCTCCCAAAACCAGCTCTATGTTTTTAGCTAATGCCTACAAACCTGTTTGCCAGGTCAACTGCTTCTTTGTTTGGTGGAGGAACAGTGAAGCACACAGATGGGACCATAGCCTCATTCCCAGTAGGACTAATGACCTTCCATTTAGCACGATGAGAGTTATTCGCCAAAACACACTCATCATCTTTGTAAATGGTTATCTGGTTTTAAATGAAGAACAGAAAAACTAAATGAAGTCACTGTTAACTAATCATTTTCCATACTTAATCTTGTATCTTTTTTTTGTTTGTTTTATGAAGTAGAAAAACTTTACCACTAGTAAGCAATATGATCTCATTTTTTAAAATAGATGAATAAAATCAGAAACAGGTCTACGTCAGGGAGTTACAAGTACCTCAATTTGTCTGTAGTCGCAAATAGCTTTGATTGGAATGGAAGTTTTGAGAGGACAGTCAGAATTCCTTGGCTTCAGCTGAATTATTGTTTTCGCTTTCCCCATCAAGGTTGCCACTGTGCTTTTGTACTGCAGAAGTTCTTCTTTCTCTTCCTAAGTAATAAAAGTGACGGGTTTTTAAAAATTAAGACTTGCACTCTCCATTCCTTTAGGGCTTTACAAAAATGAAACTTCATCAGAAAAGTCTTCCCTGACCACCAGGTCTAACTCTTCTATCACCCCCTTCCCCCTCTTGTATCCCTCCTCCCTTTATTTTGTCTGTTTGGCTGTTTCTTTTCCTCTTTAGCATTTACCACTATAATGCATAAATTCTACTTATTTATCCCGTTGTCTAGCTCCCTCCCTAGCATTAAATAGCACCATCAGAGCAGAGATTCTTATCTGCTTTGTTCCCTGCTGTATCTCCAGAGCCTAAAACCGTGCCTAGGCTATAGAAAGTACTTAAGGGCTGGGCTCTGTGGCTCACGCCTGTAATCCTAGCACTCTGGGAGGCTGAGGCAGGTGGATCGTTTATCTCAGGAGTTCAAGAACAGCCTGAGCAAGAGTGAGACCCCATCCCTACTAAAAATAGAAAGAAATTAACTGAACAACCAAAAATATATAGAAAAAATTAGCCGGGCATAGTGATGTGTGCCTGTAGTCCCAGCTACTCGGGAGGCTGAGGCAAGAGGATCGCTTGAGCCCAGGAGTTTGAGGTTGCTGTGAGCTAGGCTGACAACACGGCATTCTAGCCCAGGCAACAGAGGGAGACTCTGTCTCAAAAAAAAAAAAAAAAAAAAAAGAAAGAAAGTATTTCTGAAGCATTTGTGGAATGAATGGCTAAACACACACACCAACAGAGCACTGTGAAAGCATATCACAAGACTATCAAATATTGAAGTTATCACATAAAAAACATGATTGTTGTATTTGTTACCAAAAAAACACTAAAACTGAATGCTTAAATGCTTAATCGAATGAGGTAGAAATATCAAGAGTTCCAATAAAATATAAAGTTCTATACACATAAAAATATAATAAAAAACTAATCCAATCACTATTACACATTATTGATAAAATGTGTAAGTTTGTGTATTAGTACCATTGATTCCTGAACAAGGTCTTCCAGCTTGTGAATGCTGCTTGTTCGATCACAGCTGTACTTCCGCTGAATAGCATCTTTGAGGTTCCTCAAGTAATCAGTAGCTTCTTTGGCATCATTGAAAAACTAAAGGAAGAAGAAATCTGGCAGTTAAAGTATGATAAATGCCAGTAAAGCACAGAGTTGTCAAGTTCAGGTACCAGGGCCCTGTTGTGTGCCCCCCACAAGTGGGAACAGAATAGAAGCACAGGACAACTTGACAGCCCCATCCTTCCTTGAACCAAACAACAACCCTTGAACTTGGAGGGTTATGAATGAATAGTAAGTGTCCATAGTTTATATGTGTATTATGTTCTGGCTCTGTATTATTTTGGTTAAATGTCCGTTTTACTTTAGGGTTCAAACAATTTTTAAGTAGGGATATAATTCCAGGAATACTATAAAAACTCTCAAAAATAAAACAAAGAGCTCATTTGGTTGACTCTCTGCGATGAAAACATTTCCTTAATAAGAGACACATTCGTAGAATAAAGATTTTATGATATCTGAAGAGATTTTTAAAGGATTTCTTCCTTAATAGAATGCTTCAATTGATCCTATAGAACATGAAACCAGCCTTTATATCCTACAAAGAAAACACTTCCATTTATTGCCCTAGCACATTAAATATATGCTTAATTTCTTAAAAATAAATTGTGAAGAAGATTTCTGCAAGTCAGCCAAAATACCATCTATTGAAGTTATGACTTTATTTACAGACCTCGAAATATGCCGTGTTCTCCTTTATGTGCTGCTCCACACACTGGCAGAGCTGTAGGATCCAGCTCCACTGCGTCTGCATGGCCGCTCTGTAGGCCTTGAAGATAAAGCACAGCCATCATCACTGGCTAGACGGTAATAAGGTACCTATACATTGATTCTTCTAAACACTCAGATACTCTACTATCTAAACAGATGATGACACTGAAAACAATAAGACTTATACATCATGGTAATAAAATGCCCTTCTTATCTAAGAGTTCCTATTTGCACAAAGCCAGTTCTAAAGTTTAAATGTAAAATGTTTTTTAATCAGTCCAGTTTCTTTCTTTCCAAATTTAAGCTTCTTGAAATTTCCCCTTAAAATATAAAGAAAAAGTTACCACTGGCTATTTTACATGAAAAAATATTTAACCATTGAAATCAATGTAAGCTGTCCCTCCTCTTGAGAAAACCAACCCTTTACTCCTTTGCCGCCGCCCATCCTTATACCTGCTCTGCGGAATCCGCATATATGCTTTTCCTTCGTGACTTCTTTTACTGAATTTTTATAATATTGTATCATAAAAGACACCTTCTAACACAGAAATATATGGTTCTGTAGTTTTCTCTTTGTTTTTACTGGAGAAAGATTTCAGGAGGGTGGAAAAAGAGTGCATGCACTCCCAAACTAGTGTAATTCTGGAATTATAATGATGATAACACCAAGAATTTTTATTAAAAAATCTGCTTTCTCATTTTAATTTAATGCAGGGTATACCTTTCATGGGGGCAAAAAATATTGTAGAAAGGATGTCAACTTCATTATGGAAACATGAAACACCCTGCATATTTAAGGTGCAATTCACTGAGTTCCAGGAGAGGGCGCTCTAGATGCTTTAATGACTATTTTAAGCAAGCCTGTCATTTTTCCTCCTTTTGGAAAAAACTCATTCCTGCTGAGCTATGCTCAGGCAGGCTTTCTGAATGGAATGGACAATGCAGCATTGGAAATCTGGCAACATATCATGATCATATTATATGCTCCCTCAAATTAAGCTACTTTGAGTAAACTGACCATAAAAGACCTATCATTGTTAGATTACTAGTTACTTTTTTATATAAAGGATCAAAGTGTTGATAAATTAACTAAACATTATCCACGTACCCGATACAAGACACTGAATAAGCCAATAGTATCATAAAGATTACTAAGGCTTCATTTTACCCCTTAAGAAACTTTTCATTAATTAGATTATCATTTTATATACAACAAATTAGACTAATATTCACATTTTCCATTCCCATCAATAGTCTTAACTTACAATCCTACTTCCTAACAGCTTTCCTCTCTGTACCCTAAGGAATACTCTATTTTTAGTTTATTTATCATACAAAACTACATTCCAGACCCTGCATTATTCTATTTTCCTTTCCCTAGCAGTTCCCTGATCTTTTCTACATCTTTAACATTCCTACGTGGCATTTCATGTGGATGCAAAACCATATTTTATATGAAAGAAAGTCAAATATAACATTCCCAAAACTTCCTAATGAGGCCTAGAATTTTACCTATCTTTTCTCATGATGACTTCAGCAAAGACTATCAGATTCCTTCCCTCAACTGTGAGCTTGAAGCATGTCATCTTTTATGCAAGGCATCATTTCTTTTTCTCCTAGCAATATGCCACATCCATCTGTCCAGGAGTGATACTCCTGGGTCCTCTTAACTAACCCTATTTCCCATTCAGAAAGTCACTAACTCTGCCTAGTAAATACCAGGCCTAAAAACTAAAAACATCACCACTGCCACAACTATACAAGCAACCTGATAAATCCCGTTTTCAAATATACACTTCTATTATTTGAAAGTTTCCTTGTATACCATATGGGAGGCCTTGCCAGGATGCTGTTGCAATACACCTCACAAAACCACTTCATAAAACCAGATTGTAAAATTATTAAATTAAATCATAATTAATAAAAATTATTAAGTTAAATTATTCAATTAATCAAAGGTACCTGAGTCAGTGTAATAAAAGCTTGATGGTTTGTATTTTTCAATTTATCAGCAATAAAAGATTCTGAAGAGCAATAATCACATGTCAATATTCAACCAAGACTGTTACACTTTCTGACTTACTTCTATAGTTAACCGGGCTGGGTGATTTTCCAGAAGTAGCTGCTCTGCTATCTCCTGAACAGATTTAATATTTTCTTCCTTTTGATCGAGTTCTTTCATTAATTCCTAATTCAAGAAAGAATTAAGAAATGTGTTAGAAACAGATCTAAACCTGAAATACAACCTTACTATGCAAAGGCAGAGGTCATACTTACGGCATGATAATCTTTTTTCCTTGCTATGTTAGTATTTCTCTCACTCCAGTCATAAGCAACTTCCTCTTCTTCTTTTTCATTCAACCAAATAAGTTCATTAGTTGCACGACTTACAAAATTATGGAGTGTATCGAGGTGCCGCTCCTGATTCCTGGATGTATTCTTTATAAGGAAAATCATTATAAGAATCATGTCTTTACCAAACACAGATAAGGGAACCAGAAGGTTTAAAAAAAAAAAAAAAAACCACTTACCAAGAGTTTTGCATACTGACTCTCTAATCTGTGCAACTTTTCTGCATAAGTTAGTTTAAGAGGCGCTGTCATTTGAATCTATAACATGGAATAAAAAGACATCAAAGTTAGGAATATGAAGGAGTTCTGACTACACTTAACGTACCTATTACTGAGTGACAAGGTCTTTATATAAGGAGCAAACCAACAATAAACTAAAATGAAATATACACAAATTCTGAAGTCACCTACCTCACTGATTTTAGCTTCTTTAAGGCTAGATTCAAATTCTTCAATAGCTTTGTGAACATTTTTATGATTTTCTAAATGGCTTTCAACACTTGGCAAATCTGAGCCCCATTCAGTGCGGTCCAGCTGTACCTGCAAACAGCAAAATACTAGGTTAGAAAAAGAAACTGATAGCAATAAAAGACTGAAAGACTCAGATAAAGTAAACTTTGTTTTTACCTGCATCTCATCAACCCAATTCAAAAGATCCTGAACAAATTTCATGTTGACTTCCTCTTCTGTTAAATTTTGATCCAGCAAAGAAGACTTTAGAAGGGGTTTTCGGATCTGCATCAACTTCAGAGTTTGCAATGAATTTGGCTCTGCTCCTGAACCGAAATTTGAAACTAATCCTGATGGGAAACCAGGTGTATAAGCTGGAGTGACAGACGGAGTTAGGCGGGAAGTCATCCCTGATGACAGGCCAGAAGTCACACTGGAAGAGGTCAAGGAAGGTGTTAAACTCTGGGTCAGCCCTGAGTTCAGACTGGGGTGTAAGGTCTGTGAAAATCCTGAGTTTAAACTCTGGGTGATTCCTGATATCATGAGCTTCGTCTGTTCCGTCGTCAGCAGGCGTCCTTTGCTGTACACAGAGGAACATTCATTCCTTAAGGCCATAATTTCATCACGTAGTTTTGCAACCCTGAAAAAAACCCAAAAAAGGATAAGGTACAATATAAAAGGCACTTGCCACAAAGAGTGAACCCTAATGTAAACTCTGGGCTTTAGTTAATAATAATGTTTCAATATTGGCTTACCAGTTATAACAAATATGTTAATTATTGGGGAAGAGGGGGGATAGGGGGTATATGGGAACTCTATTTTCCACTCAATTTTTCTGTAAACCTAAAATACTCAAAAAATAAAGTACGTAAAAAATAGATCATTGTAATCATATCAGTAAAACTTTGCATAACAATTTTTTTCAGTGAACATTGTACTATGAGGATTTTTCATATTATTAGTATTTATAACTATCATTTATAATGAAACATTATTATACTATAATGTGATCGTTCTCCTATTATTTGACATCTAGGATAGTTCCAAACTATTGTTATTATAAAATACTTCTGTCATGAACATAAAGCTTTTCCCTACATTTTTTATATTTTTTTCCCATATTTAGAACTACTATAGATTCCTAAAAGTAAAATTACTGGGTCAAAGTATTATTTAAAAATTTTGCTTTGATAGAAAGATAGATAGAGGGATAGATGGATGGATACAGAGAGAGAGACTACAGCCTGAAATGTTCCATACCTACTCCCAAATCTACTTCTCAGAGACATAAATTTTTGTACATATATATTTTTTTCAAAATTTATAAACATTTTCATAAGATAAACAGAAAACTGAAAAATTGAATTAAAAATGACATTTTTCTTATATTTTTCCTCTTTTCAAATGTCACACATGAATACTTTAAATGCATGTATGTTACATATAGGTATATATATACATTTAAAATGAATGCTTATATGTAAATGTATAAATGAATACATATATGAAATATACATACATTTAAAGTATTCATTTTAATGAATATGTTAGTTACCACAGCAGCAAATAGTATATGTATCATAAAATACTTTTATCTATTACTAATCTTTGAAGAACAAATACCTATTTAACATACCAAACTATGCCAAAATTAATGTGACACACATTTTCAACTGAAAAGAGCTACATTTCATTAAATTGTCATACTCTATATTCCTATCACAAATGCCCATGAAACAGTTACACAAAAGGACAGAGTAGGAATAAGTGGCATTCTTACCTCTGTACCAATTGATCTGCCTGGTAATATTTCCCATCAATAAGAATCTGTACATCAATTACATGCTGGCGTAAAAGGTTCTCACATTCAAGTATATACCCGGCAATTTCTGCTTCATTCTGAAACTGCACCCCTGATTCTAATCTTTTAGAGTCCTGTATTTTAAAACAACTCAGTATTACTTCTGTGAAACAAGTTTCAAAACCAGCCCCAAATATAAAACTCTAAATATTAGAACAGAAACCCACATGTGCTTCCCTTAGTTTTCCTTGTTGGTTCAAAAATATGTTTTCCCTTTGCTTATTGTCCCTCAAGAGAGCACACGCCAATCATGATCTTTAAGGGACTTTAAGTTTTAGTGGACAAAATATACCAAGAATCAACCACACATTATGCAAAAGTTTCCGTTCATCCAAACGCACACTGACCCCTCCAGCACAACCTCAATGGCTCCCAAAATTAACTTACAGACTGGAGAGCATTCCGGGCAAGAATCAGTTTGTCTTCACAGATGACACTGTCCCTCTGAACTCGGTTGGCAATCTGCTGCAACATTTCCAACCTAAAAGATGAGACAAAATAAAATACAGCTTCTCCCTTTGAAGTCAAAGAGCTTATTAGCATTCCTGAAAAATGCTGCCCACCAAAAGCAAAACACAATCCTACACCAATGATGCAGTACCTTCGTCCACCCAAGGTTTCATTGCCGAAGCTAATGCAGGAGTTGATCAGCGTGGGACCACAATGGACCGAGAGAAGATTTTCATTTGAATCAAGACTAGTTCGAGTACTGGTGGTATTACTAAACACAGAATCGCTGCTGTGGTAACTATAACTACTACTGTGCATCTTCACTCCTGAAATGATAGTCTTTCTTTGACCATTCAAAGCAGACTTTTAGAAGGTCTAGGAAAAAAAGCTCTGCTTCTAACGGCGAAAAGTGGCAGCTGAATGTTACAGCTTCTAATGGCTCCTTAAATATGCTTCAACATGCATATGCAACTCACAGCAAATAATATGCTGGTAACTATTCAAAAGAATCTCGCCTAAAGCCATCCTTTGCTAGCTGAGGTTTGCCTTTTGTAGCTTGCATTAAAACCCTACAAGTACAGACAAAGCAGAGTGATTTGGGCGTCACTGGAAAAGATACGCCAAATATTTTCACAAAGAGTCATCCAATTGCAACCACCTAAAAAACAACTCAGATGCTTCACAGAAGCCCAGGTACTGCAAGCAAAGATTATTCTGGCAATACCAATCATCAGCTAAAGGAACACAAATATTCGATCATGGCCTGACTTCTGCAAAGGGCCAAGTTTTTAACAAAGGCAAAAAGCTAAACATCATCAAGTACCTACAAACAAATGAATTTGATTAGAAACAAAATACATTTCCATTTTAACCACTATGTCATTTGTTTATTAGGCTAAATTAACTGCAAAATTATCCATTCACTTTTCTTTATATAACATGCTCTCAGTATGTTACTTCTAAACTACCATAGTAGTTACTTTACATTTTTGAAAGCCAAAGTGCCAAGTAGAGTATGCAAATTTAATTTGTCTGTGCTTGTTTTTCCTTTCTGTAGGTTATTACAAGGCATAAGAACATTGGCTCTTTCCCATTTGTCTTTTACACACTCCCATGCCACGTAGCTATTATTTGTGATACATGGTCAATGCCAAAAAACTTGTTGCATCAAGAAAAATGGAGGTATTTATTAAAACAAGCTCCTAAATATTTTCCTGCCTCCAAAACCACACAGCCAAACTATTGCTTCTCCATGCTAAGGGTAGATATTTTTCTTTTCAGAAGTCAAGAAAGGGAAAATTTGAGAACACCATGTCAAATATAGTGAGTAAACAGAACAGCTGAAAACAGTAATACCAGCACCTAGCATTTATTAAGCAATTATTATATGCAGGAGATTAATCATTTTACATATATTACCTCTCCTCATACTCATAACCACTAAATGTGGTAGGTATTATTACATCCTGTTTACAAATGAGGAAACTGAGGCTTAGAGAGTTAAAGAACTTGTCTAAAGTAACACAATTTGCAAGCTGAGCTAATAATCTGACTCAGGATTGAGTGGATCCTGGGCCCTGAGCTATTAACCACTGTCTGTATTCTTTGACTGACATTTAATAAAATTCAGCTACTATTCTGATGACTAAAAATCTACTCTGTATCCTTTCTCTGGCATACTTTTCCATTATTCCAGATGATTCGCTTAGTGTCTCGTTTTAATCACTCCAAATTACCTCCTCCATAAAAGTTTTTTCATGTGTACTCCAAGTTCGTTTTGGTTCTAATGATCCAGTTAGGTAGATACAACACTATGCTTTAACAAAAGTGTAATTAGTAATTTAATAAATGCCTGACAAATTAGACGTGCTCCCATATCTTCAACACATTATTTCATTGTCCAACAATGTTGAAGTCAATGTGGGAGGCTCAAACAACATGACTACACTGAGCACCGCTACTATGTACCAGGCACTGTGTTAAGCATCGGCAATGCAAGGCACAGCAAAAACAAGAGTTTGTCTCTACGTTCTTGGAGTTCCCATCTGTGAAACAGGCAGCACCTGAACAAGCAATTTCAGAAATAAATATAGAATAACTACTGAGATAAGCGCTACAAAGGAACAATACAGGTAAATAGGAGAGTTCTAAGCAAGACATCTTAACCAGCCTGCAAGGGAAGTTTCTTGAGGAAGTAACGCTGGAGGTGAGGTCTGAGAAGGATTAGGAATGAAGAGAGTTGGAGATTTAAAGCAGCCAGTGTGGCTGCTCTGCAGAGAGCCAAGGAGGCCAAAGAGGTGTGCCTGACCACACGGGCCTCGGGCTGGAAGGCCCAGGCCCTGTGGACCTCACGTGTGAGGAACACAGGTCACAGTTCCCACGTACCACACGCTAGGCTGTGAGGTAAGCACCACGACTGAGACAGATGCTTCCTGAAGACTAAGTGATACCTTCCCCGGCAACTGGGTGTGATAAGAGAGAATGATAAAGAGCCAGTGATGATTTCATGGAATAGATGCATTTGTAGAAGTGGGGCAGGAAGGAAACCTGAACTGAGAGTGTTCTAGAAACCACCCCATCCCCCTTTAAATGGAAAAGGGCTAGACTTTGGTTTCCACTGCCCCATGGAAAGCAAGCCATAGCCAAAAGTGTAACAAGAAACCAAATAAGTTAATTGTTGACCTAATGAGCTTCCAGATCCAGGCCCTGGTGAATTAAGCCCTGTATGAGAAATTATGGGTAATTTAGATTGGCTTTAAAGCTATAATATATTATTAGATAAGACTTCACATACCAATCCAGCCCACCATGTTCTTCATATGCGTATGTGTATATATATGTGTATGTGTGTGTATAAAAAAACTTCACTGAGTTATTCCTTAAAACCTTTTGAAGAGTTTCTAGATGAGAAACTCAATTGTGGATCCTCAAGACTAAGTGCCTTATCCAAAGTCACACAGCCAAGTAAACAGAAAAAGTAAATTTTGGTCCTAGGTCTGCCTGGCTCGAAAACTTAAGTTCTTTGCACAAGAACAAAGACACCACCCACCACCCACCCTCTGCCAAGATCCATAGCAGAAAACATCTCTGGCCTACCTTTCTACTTCTGGGCGAAGTGCCTTCTCCCTCTCGAGCATGGCAATAATGAGTTTCCCCCACTCTTTTTCTATGTCATTTGGATGATAACCTTGAAGGAGTTTGATGCGTCCAAATTCTATCCAAATCTTGAGAAAACGAAAATATTTAATGTGAAGCAAAGATGTAAAAACAACACAACAACAAAACATATGCTTAACACTACAAAGGAAATTTCAGCTTACCTCTAATAATTTATATAGGCGTTTAATTTTGGATTTTTCTGTCTCCTTTGGTGGAATCTCTGTTTCTTTAAACTGTAAATACTGATTATAAAGTGCCTAAAATGAAAGGGAAAATAAATTAAGGGCCAAACTTCAAAGACCTGTTTTTTCATTATCTCACTAAGTCCCCACTTCAAATGCTATTTACTGTGTCATATGCATTCAGTGGAATTCCTTTATAAAATTGACAATACAGATTCCCAGCCAGCTGGTAACCCAGGTTATATGAGATTTGATGACAGTGTAATTATTGATGTGAGCCATGATTCAACATGTGCCACACAGCCATCTAGATAATAACAAACCATGGCAGTGTTTACTAGTTTACTATGGCTCTTCTAAAAATCTCTCATCACCCAAACAAGAAAACATACCCTGTAAAAGATTCACTTTCCAAATGCTGCTCTTTAACTTTTAGTTTTTGTAAAAATAATTTGATGCAGTTCCCATAAAGGAAGAAAAAAAATATGTTCTATTTCATGGTTATATCCTTGAAAGTGGGATTCTTGGCAGATAGATAGGGCTAAAATTTGGTTTCAATGTCCTATTGGCCAATTTAAACAGATTCTGCTCTTTTTTTTTTCTTTTGGACTTCTGCAATAACTTGGAATAATTTTTTTTAATAAACGAAGGTAGATACAATTAGTTGAGGGTGCTATTATAGAAGTTTCAACCATATAATTAAATTATCTACTAACTTGTAGGTATTAATTTGAGAGCCTCTTAAATATAATTTATTGCATTTATTAACAAAGGCCTTCATAAAAAATTATGGAGATAAAACATCACCACATTTAATAAGTATATACTAATTATTTCATCATAAATGATACTGCTTTAAAACCAAACCCTGTAAATCTTCAGGCAGACACATTTCTGAAGGATTCCATTTCAAGTTTTGCTAATGCAATTATTTGGCATTTCTCATGATACATTTTCTTTCCTGTAGTGTGTCCTATCCTAGGAACTAGCAAGGCATCGGTGTGGTCACCCAAATTGCTTCCATAACTTTAGGAATCTTGCACTAATCAGGAGCCAGTACAAATTTACCCAAGGGCCTGGACAATAGCAAGCCATCTGGAAATAAGTGGGTGTGAACATGAAATCTGAAATTGATCTGAGCTCAAAATGTGATGTTTTAGGATGTCTGTCTGTCATGTCTGTCTGTCTGTATGTTTTAGGCACTGACTGTCACTATGTGTTAAACAGTGCTCGTGGCACCCCGTGGTGGTTGAAGAGAAAAGCTTTCCTGCCCCGGAAGGTTTTACATCCCTTCAGGGAGACATCACACAAACAACATTAGAACACTTAAAAAGTTTCATATCATCAGATGCCAAAGAACTTCGTGCCAAGGACAAACTCCCTCTGGCCATGGGAATGAGAGCTGCTCCACAGATGTTCCGTAGGGACTCAGAAACATAACAAATAACTCCAACAGGGCCCACCCTGGATCATTAACATTTTTTTTTTTTTTCAATTTCAGTTTGATCATGAAAACAAAGCTCACAAAGCAAGGAGTTAAGGCTTTGTAATCAATATTCACATTATTGGCTTCTAAAGTAGACTACTTTGCTGCTACAAATCTAAATACACAAAACGAAACAGTTTATTCTTTGGTAAGTTTACAAAAGCTATCATGTCTTTTATATTTCTGTAATGTCCTTGCCTCAAAGAGCTTGACCTAACTGTTTCAGTATTTTCAAATTCATGGTGAAAGAGAGTATGTGCCTCTTGCTATACAAAAGAAGCCTTGGAGGCAGTCTTTAACAGGACTGAACCACAAGCACACTCCCAATCACGATCATGCTTGCATCTACTTCCCAGAGTTCCTTTCTGCCAGCCATCCACTGGGCTCCAAGCATTTCCCATGCACCAAAAATGATTTGGCAATGTCAGTTCTAGAGACCCTCTCAAATTAAACCTTTAAACACTGGACAAATCAAAGCTTAAGGACTATAAATTTCTTTGAGATGCTGCTGCTATTATGTTTTTCATTATTAATGTTTATCTCTCTTTTCTCTGTATAACAGAGAGATGAATAAAAATTTTTGTCTACCTATTAGTGGCTTGCTAAGGGTCACTTTTCTTGAACTTCTAAAATTACAAAATTATTATAGCACTATTTAAAAGTTTACAATCAAATCAGTCCTACTTAATTTCTGCAGTGACACTGACCTTTAGTTCCACAGGATTATTAGGAAATGTTCTCTCAGACATTGTGGTCACATGGTGTCTAATCCACTGGATGAGGTAGTTCACCATATTCTGGTATTCGATCCATTTGACTTCAACGTCCTAGAACAGTGACATGACAGAAAAGGTCCATGTCTGTAGATAATAATGTTCCTAACTAACATGATTTAGTAGGAAATCATTCTGTGAATTTACACATCTTGAAGCTTGACACAGAGAACCAGCTAAATGTATTCTTACTTTCCACCCAGCCCCAATCCCTTCCACATAAACAGATATTTGGCCACTAATGCTAGCTCAATGAGTGCCAATTCTGATCCAAAGATAGTGGCTGCCTATCAGTTCCCATGGGACACTGGGTTGAGAAGGCTTCTGAGGCTGTATCCAAGTACAGCAGAAAAAAATCCATTGTCAATTTAGATATTTCCCGGGGTTCAAGAAAAGGAAAGTCACAGCTTGTATAAGCCAAGTTACTTCCCATCTCTGCCAACCATTTTAGATCTAAGTCCACCACATATCTGAAACTCGAAAGAGTTTTATAATGTGTAGGAAACCAGATAGGAATGAAAACTACCAAAAATATATATGGTGGGATTATTTAAGTACTCATTAAGCAAACTTTTTAAAAATGGAAGAAACTGGAAGGCTGTCAACTACTATGCTCAATTAAGTATCTGATGAATGTTTATTATGTTCAAAGATTGTGCTTAGTGTTATAATAAAAAAATACCTTGAGACATAATACCGTGTTTCCCTGAAAATAAGACCTACCCCATAAAATAAGCCCTAGCAGGATTACTAAGCATTTGAGCAATATAAGCCCTACCCCGAAAATAAGACCTAGTAATGGGTGTGGCTACGCAGTGTATCTGCACAACCCATGCATTTCGTCACGGAGCAGTAAAGAAGACAAGCAGCCCTTCTCATCTGTCCCATCGTGACAGCTACTATCCCACAGTTGACCAGAAAGGTGCGGGCAGCCCCACCAACAAGGTCAGCTCCCACTGTCAGTTTCTGGCCATCCTGTGCAGGCTGCAAGCTGAGGCTTTGAGGGGAAAATAACACATCCCCTGAAAATAAGCCATAGGGTGTCTTCTTGAGGAAAAATAAATATAAGACCCTGTCTTATTTCCGGGGAAACATGGTACCTATTGTCAAGAGCTACTGTCTAAATGGGGAGGCAAAAGAGATATATAAACATTTAAGCAAAATGAAAAGCAGTATTTAATTACATGTTGAAATAACTGAAACAGGTAGTATATGCTAGAAGTCAAGATAAGAATCGGGTAAGTGTGTTTGTGCCTCGAAACAGTCACTAAAAGCTTCTTAGAAAAGGTCGTCTCTGAGCAGTTCTGCTATCATCAGGAGTGTGGGGTGGTGGAGAGAAAAGAGAAAAGAGAGCTGAGTCCCAAGTGAGACACAGACATGGAAATGGCCCAGCCATCAGTAAACAGTTCATACTGGGGAAATCATAGCTAAAAATGTAGGTAAGCAGAATAGTTAATATATGCAGAGTTTTGTCATATGTCAGAATACCCAGATTGGATTTAACCTTCCAAGCAATATGTAGCCACTTTAAGTATTCAAGCTAAAGACACCAGGTTTAATAAGACTAATTTGGCAATAATGTGCAAAGGTGGTGGGAAGAGTGAAAAAAAATAGAGATGGAACACCATAAGAAAGCTATCACCCTAGTTCTAGGGTGATAAGAGGCAGGGGTAGGTGGAGGCAGTGAGAAGAGACAGCAAGTGATGGCCAAAAGAAACATTGTGAAGCAAAATTCGACACTGAATCATGAGAGGCAAGCATGGGAACAAGTTAGTGAACGATCCAAAGATGGCAAGGTCTTTGAGAGAAGAACCAGAGGAAGAATATGGAAATAGGTCTAGCACACAGAGCTGGGATAAGAGACCAGAAAAGGGAGATCCTAATCCCAGGGAGCTAATCCAGGCTGAGCTCCTAAATCTCCAGAGTAACATGTAAAAAAAAAAAAAGGTATCTGCATGGAGGAGAAGAGAAAACCTAGTGAAGGAGATCATCCCTCAAATAGTGTTTCCTGTTCTCTTCCAGAAATGTATAAGCACTTGTTAGCATGAGCACTACAAAATGCATGACTGAATTGAATTACACAAACCTATGAGAAACAGACAACTAATAAAGAGCCCAAAGCCATGTGTCAGAGACCTTGACCAGTTTATTAACTAGCTCTGTTAATCTGGCCAAATCCAATAACCTTCCTCTAAGACTCCTCTTTTAAATCAGAAAAACAACATCTAGCTTACTTATTTCATGGGATCATATGAGTTAATAAACTTGAAATTGTTTCCAAAAGTGAGACATTCTATACATAGCAAACAGCAATTGTAAAACAACAGCAAGCTAAAAATGAAAATCTCCAAATTTTAGGAGTTTACAACTTTTATTCATAAAATGACCTATAACTCTAAATAGCCTCTTTTATTTATGACACAGAACAAATGTTTTAATTAGTTATATTTTAAATTTAATGGTGGAATGATGCCATGAAATACACAGAGTATCGGTTTATTAATTCAAATTCTTGAAAATATATGTGACATTTAAAAACTGCAAAAGTACTAAACTACGAAAGAATTCAGTTAACTGGTCATTACTGAATCCACATCTTCTAGACTGGAAAAATCAATACTCACATTTGCACCAATGCCTTCACCACCTTCAGGGACTTTAGGAAATGCATCATAGAGAGATGAAACATAAGTTATTACTGATTTTTCATCAGGTGAGGAGACATCAACATCTAAAAACAGCAACATAAATTATTTCATGATGTTGATAAGACTACTTTTGATCAGACTTTCATGCCTGTCCTTATACAGTCAAGAAAATAACTCACCTTCAGGGTCCAGAAGTCTTATAACACCAATTTTTTCAGCTACATAAAAAGCGTGCTCTAAATTTGCAAGGTTGCTTTGAACAGCAACAGTATTCATGTCTATCAGGTCCGGCCTAGGAAAAAATAATTCACCGTGTTAATTAAGTTTTCTCATGTGCCAATTCAACATTATATTTACATGTGTACCTATGTATATAACAATGCCTGCAAATATTAATACTAAGCCTGTGTTAAAATAGAGATTTTCATCAAACATTTAATACTGCTTACTTCTCTCAGAAACTTTTGTGTGTCAAAAGCAAAGATAACATGGAAAATATAAAAATGTGCATAACACATATAACTTTCACCAAAGTCTACAAATGTCTCATAGTCAAAATATATGTGAGTATCTTTCTCATTCAACTGATTTAAGCTCCACTACTCCAACAGCATCTTCCCAATCCAACCAGCACCTTCTCAATATTCCTCCCCAAACATAAAAAATTGCATGCCAGTTCAAGGCCATGCCCATGGCATCCCTACTCTCACGTGTCCTTTCATGTCACTGCTGTCTTCTATAATCCTACTCAACCTTCCAAGCAGAGATCAGCCATACCTCCTCTGCGGGGGTCTGGCTGATCCTCCCAGCCCCCATTTCTCTCTCTGTCCCCTACAGTCCTGATAGCTCCTGGCCTGTGCCACTCAATGTAGCATACAAGATAATCTTATACCTCCTTGCCCTATTAATTCACTGTTTTGTGTATGTGAGTATCTTGTTTCTTCCAACCAGTCAACTCCAAGATAGTAAGTACTATGTATTAATAAAATTTTGTATTTTATCCTTCTGCTGAGATAAAGAGTGACCAAACTCAAACATAAAAACTAGCTGATTCACATAGGATAAAACAACAAGATAAGGATTATGATCATAATATAGAAAACACGCTAATAAAAATATAAATATACTATATCATATATGCAAGCACAAAACAACAAACGTAGTGCATAAATAATGACGAATGAATCGCATGCAATAGCTACAAACAAAGATGCATCATTTGTGAAGGAGCTACATCGATACTCTAAACGGGGCATCCTCAAACTATGGCCCGTGGGCCACATGTGGTTGTTTTTATCCGTTTGTTTTTTTTTTACTTCAAAATAAGATATGTGCAGTGTGCACAGGAATTTGTTCATAGTTTTTTTTAAACTATAGTCCGGCCCTCCAATGGTCTGAGGGACAGTGAACTGGCCCCCTGTTTAAAAAGTTTGAGGACCCCTGAAGGGGATACTTTGAAGCTAGCTCAATCTACATGAAACGGGAGAAGACTCCTCAAATACTCCTCGTAGCAAAAGTGCAAAATATGGTAGTTGGAAGCTCACTCCAGACAAGAAGCCAGTAAGGAAACTTTGATCTCAAAAACAAAGCATTAACAGAATGCAGAAACAAATGTGGAAATAGCAAAGCCTTCAAAAACAGTGGCACCCACTCCCAAAATCACTGAGTAAGAATCTGTTGATCACCTTACAAAAGCAGGGCTCTCTATAATCCCCCAGGCATTCTAGTTTGTTCAAAATAATTATTTAGGGAGCCACAGAAAGAGTGGGAGGGTCCAGAGGTAGTGTGGGAGAGTGAAATGCAAATTATTTTGAATACTACTTGGCAGGCTGCTTATATAAGAAACTCTTTGAAAACACATCATTAATCTTAGAAAGGTAAATGGCAATTTGTACTCTTATAGTTATGGTGACCTCCCAAGAAATCTACTTACAGTTTTATAGCACTTTGCACTGTTCATAACCTGCCAACGCAGCAACCATTACCTACATGCTCATATCCCAGGAAATTATTAGGAAATTCTGTAATGTTTTTCACATGCTATCAATGTGATCACTCAGAAGTGATCCTATACTTATTATATGAACAGTAAACCCACTGACAACAATAGAGGTAAATGACAGACCCCTAGAAAGAACCTTTTTAATTCACATACACGCATATTGAACAATCTGCCAACTTCAAGATCACTAAACAGGTAACTATAATAGTGTAGATAAAAACAAATATCTAAAGTTCTTTCATTAAAAAAACTGCTTTGTTTCCATAAAGTTAACACATTTTGGAGAAATAAAAAGCAGCCTTTCTGCATCTGCCAAATCTCAGAACAAGAAATGGCATGTTGGTGAGAACCCTGCCATTAGCAAAGAAAGTAAACACTGACTAATCCCAGAGAGAATGAATCAAGTCATTGAAGAATCAAGTTTTTTAACTAAGAGAATAGAACATAAGACTTACTTCAAAATGACATAGTCATTTTTGCACAAAAGCAGCTGTATAATACAACGTGAGTTTGAATAAGTCGCCTCTTCTAGCATGGTATTTTAACACTTTCATGGCTTTCCTCCACTAAAAGACAGTACTAAGTAAAGAAAATTGGTTAAGCAAAAATGGAAAAAGGGAAAACTTTAAAACCCACTATGAAAAAATAAAGCGTGTAAGTCTTCAAAATGCTATTCCTTCCCTAGCTCATCTCCAAACAGTATGGTCGTTTCCATCTTTCAATCTTTCTTTCCTCTATTTGCCTGGAGCATCCAGTAGAGGCCTGTCGTGTGCCTGCCTTACCTTCCTTCTTTCTATGTAGTCTCACTGGGATACTATAACCTTTAAAACTTCAGTTATTTTTCACATACAAAAGATATTTATAGGCCAGGCGCAGTGGCCCACGCCTATAATCCCAGCATTCTAGGAGGCCGAGGCAGGAGGATCGCTTGAGCTCAGGAGTTCGAGACCAGCCTGAGCAAGAGTGAGACCTCGTCTCTACTATAAATAGAACGAAATTGGCCAAAACAAATAAAAATAGAAAAAAACTAGCTGGGCATGGTGGCATATGCCTGTAGTCCCAGCTACTCGGGATGCCGAGGCAGGAGGATCACCTGAGCCCAGGAGTCTGAGGTTGCTGTGAGCTACACAGATGCCACGGCACACTCTAGCCTAGGCAAGAGAGTGAGACACTGCCTCAAAAAAAAAACAAAAACAAAAACAAAAAAAAAAAACAGATATTTATTTTCACCCTAAAGGTTCCATTTCACTGTAACATCTTTTAACGGATTGTTAGCAGGAAACTTCATTTCTGTCTTAGGTATGACTAACCAAAGAGCACTGGACTATATTGTAAACATGTAGAAGGTAGATGCCATGTTCCTATATTTTATATTAGTTGAACATTAACTATTCTAATTTCCATATTTTATGGAAACTTTTCAAAATCATATAATACAATCCTTTGCCACCTAAAATAATATATACTAGTCTTTCTATGGAAAAAAGGACAATTTCTTACTTTTTTACTGTTCTACCTTAATGTAGTATTTTCTAAATGACTCAATCATCATGGATTGTAATTTTTTTAAACTTATATTGATACCCTACCTTTTCTTTCATAAATGATTAAAAACAGCTTACAAAGACATGAAAATACAAGATAACAAAAAGTTTAAATTTGAAGTATAAAACCAAGAGAAGGCCTTAAAATGATATTGAACACGAGACCAAAAAATACAAATCACTTATATGCACACTTGGCACCCTTAATTTGTTCCAAAAATATAGGGCAAAAGGTATCAAACCCAGTGCTATTGCCACAATACAAAATAATTCTGGATAAAAAGAATGCTTATCTTTCATACAACACCCATCTTAAAAGAGCATCCTCCCTAGTTAAAATAGATATATATATCCATGTATATCCATACACATAAATATGTATGCGGGTATTTATGCATATATAGGTGTATATATATGGATATATGGATATAGTATAAGTATATCATCACCAATACTAACAGACTGCCAAAGACAGCTGAACATTAAAATTGCATAAGATATTTTTAGGTATAGATACCTCCAAGGTAACTTTCCAATCTTTACTCTATTAATATATTACCTCACATGAGAATTCGATAGGATTATGTGAGAAAATCTGACTTACACAGTGTTATAAATGGCTGACGATTAGTACAAGAGGTTACCTAGGGTTACCACATTATATCATGCAAACACCAATCCACTCAATTACAAGGAGCATAAGACAAAGTCAAAATATTTGGAAAGCAAGTACTTAGAAGCATACTAGAGAGGACACTGATTAAAGTTAGCTAACTAAAAGGGGAAAAAAATGTTAGCTAAGAGAAGAGTACATTAAGGCAGACACAAGATCACCAAATCCTGAACCAAAAATGTGACAATAGCTGAAAGGACAGATGTGAAAAATATCAATAGTCAAGGTTCAAATCAGGAGTTTTTTTTTAAAGTATGAAAAAAGTGATGTAAATTCATACATTTGTTAGGTTGTGCTGGCTCTCAATCAGCACTTAAGAATTATTTAAGTAAATATATACAGTTAGTTTTTGATTAAACCCCACTAGAACCCTTTTACCATGTTTGAAAAATTTATCTTTCACAAGCCTTGGGAGAAGGAGATGGGCAAAGCCCATTTTCCAATACGAAAACAAAAACATGGCAGGTTTTTCTCACCTTTTTTCTTTGCTCAAGGACTGTCCACTGCATACCTTGCCCCCATACACAACACTACCTGGCCAACTCAGATTCTTCCTGAGACTTAGTTTCACCATCATCTCTTCCAGGAAATACTTTTCTCTGTTCCCAAATGCTCTCTGCTACCTCTATTTCTAAATTTACCACATTTCATTAGAACTGTGCATTCGTCTGTCTCTCACATTGGACCACAGGAAGGGCCTGTGTTTTGTCCATGTTTATGACCTCAGTGTCTAGCATAATACATAGCACGTGAACTTCTGAGGAGTGAATAAAGAAATGAATGAGCTATAGAGGCTGAAAAGTATTAGTGATTCAAATTCTTAGAGACATTCTCCATCCTAGGTTTGGTCCTTTTCTTTTCACTAATTTCTACAGACAAAGCCATGATCTATTCACTTCCAGCCAAGATTTCAATCCTTATCAAAGTCCACCTGGAACAGGTACAATGTCATACCTTCTCCATATTCTAAACAAGCACACACCCTTTTGAGGTTTCCTATAGGCTTTTCTCTGCTGAAAACAATTTGAAAAATAGGCATAGAATGAAAACAATAAAAAGCATAAATCATCGCT